TGCTTCCAGGAAGCTTAACTTACATGTTTCCACTTGCATTTCTACCCTGACTTTTGTGGTTTTGTTTTTTATTTTTTATTTTATTTATTTTGTTTTGTTGAGACAGGGTTTCTCTGTGTAACAGCCCTGGCTGTCCCAGAACTCACTTTGTAGATCAGGCTGGCCTTACCTCACAGAGATCCACCTGCCTCTGCCTCCCAAGTGCTAGGATTGAAGGTGTGCACCACCATGTCTGCCATGTAGGGTTTTTTTTCTTTTCTTTTTTTTTCTTTTTTTAATAGAGGCCATATTTAGGGGCTGAAGAGACGGCTTGGTGGTTAAGGGCACTCGTTCTCCCAGAGGACCTGAGTTCAGTTCCAGCACCCACAAAATGGTTCACAACTGTCTATAACTCCAGTTCCTATAGATTCAAAACCCTCTTCTGGTCTCCTTGGGCACCAAACACGCATGTAGTACATATACATACATGTAAGCAATACTCTCATACACAGTTAAATAAAACTAAATAAATCTTTTGAAAAGTTAAAAAAAAAAAAAAAAAAGCTGGCAGGCCGTGGTGTTGTACACATTTAGTCCCAACACTGGGAAAGCAGAGCCAGAGGGATCTCTGAGCTTGAGGATAGCCTGGTCTACAGACATCCAGGGCTACGCACAGAAACCCTATTTCAAAAAACAAAAAACAAAAACCAAACCAAACAAAAACCAACTGCAAAAAAGCCATATTTACTTAAATTGGGCTAAGAAAAAACCTTTTTAGTCGTTATTACTTTTAATTATGTGTATCTGTGTGTATGTGCCTGTGGAGATCAGAGGCCTTGTATGCCCTGGAGCTGGAGTTACAGGCAGTTGTGAGCCATCCAACATAGGTGGTGGGAATAGAACTCAGGTCCTCTGCAAGAACAGTAAGTGATCTTAACTTCTGAGTCAATTTGCCAGTCTCCACATTGATTCTTTCTGTTCATGAACATGGTACACCTTCATTTATCTAGATGTTCTTTAATTTAGGATTTTATCTTAGCTTTTTTTTTTTAATACTTATTTTGAGACAGGGCCTCACTCGTGTGTAACTGCCTGTCTGCTGTGGCATGCAAGTAGAGATCAGAAGGCAACTTAAGGGAGTGGGTTCTCTCCTTCCACCTGGTAGATTCTGGGAATTAGACTGAGGTTGGCAGCACGTGCATTTACCACTGAGCTTTCTTGCTGATCCAGATGGTAATTTTCTTCCTTTCTTTTTAAAAAAATATTTTTTCAAAATTTTATTTTATGTGTATGAGTGTTTTCCTTGCACATATATAGACATATATACACATACATGCCTAGTGCCCATGGAGGCCAGAGACTGTCAAGTCCCCTGGAACTGGAGTGTGGGCTGTGGATCTAGCTTCTTCTGTAGCTTCTGCCTAGCTCACGGAAGATCCGAGTTCCAATCCGAAGCATCAAAATATAGAACTAGAAAAAGTGTGAAGCCTATTATGATAACTCACCAGTGATCTCAGCACTTTGGAGGCTGGAGTCAGGGGAACTGCCCAGAGTTCAAGTCAGTCTTGGCTATATAGTGAGACTCAGTTTCAAAAGCAATGGCTAGGCAAAATGGTTCAGCAGGTAAAGGAACCTGAGGCCCAGCCTGACGACCTGAGTTCCATCCTTCAGAAGCACAAAATGGAAGGAGAAAACTGACCCTAAAAGCTCTCCTCTGGCCCACCTTGCTCTCAGAAGAAAGAAATGAGTAATGACAACCATTCATCTTCAGGATGAGAAGGAAAAAACAAAGTAACAAGGGTCAGGAGAGATGTTTCAATGGGGAAAAGTGCTTGCTGTACGAACATGAGACTTGCGTTTGGATTCCAGCACCATGGGGTGTAGAAGGGCCGTTGTAGCTGCCTAGACCTGTCTATAAACCCCGAGTGCCAAGTGGGCAGAGACTAGAGCATTTCCATCAGCTTTGCTTCAGGTTCTGTGCTTTCTTATAAAGATATAACACCCAACCTCTTCCCCTGGCTCTGCTCAAGTGTACAGGTACATGTACCTGCACACACACAAACACACCCACACACACACACACCAAAAAGCAACTCAACAAAAAATTCTGTTGTCAAGAGAATTGAAATATGTCAAATTTTTTTTTTTTTTTTTGGTTTTTCGAGACAGGGTTTCTCTGTGTAGCTTTGCGCCTTTCCTGGAACTCGCTTTGGAGACCAGGCTGGCCTCGAACTCACAGAGATCCGCCTGGCTCTGCCTCCCGAGTGCTGGGATTAAAGGCGTGCGCCACCACTGCCCGGCATGTCAAAAATTTTTAAAAAGCCAGATGCTCAGGCAGCATGACACAGCACTTCCCCATCTCTATCCCGGTACCAGAGCAATGGGAACTAGTGGGAGCTAACTCCTCCACTAAGGAAATGAATAATGCAAAATAACTGGTCAACCTCATGCTGAGAAGGAAAAAGAAAATCACTACTGTTGTAACGGATGATAAATACCCAGAATTTGAAATATTCAGCTAGTATGACACAGCATTCCCCTATTTCTTACCCTATTATGTTACCAACAAGAGTCAAGAGAGCTACAGAGGGGCCAGACATAGTAGCATACGCCTTTAATGCCAGCACGGGGGGTGGGGGTGGGGGGGTGGGGGGGAGTGGGGGGGGTGGGGGGGGTGGGGGTGGGGGTGGGCAAGGCAGAGGCAGGAGAATTTCTGTGGATTTGAGGCCAGCCTGGTCTACATGGCAAGTTTCAGGATACCAAGGACAACATAGAGAGATCTTATCTCAAAATAAGAAAAAAAAAAGAAAAAGGAAGAATAAAAGAGAGATCCAATACTATTTATTAAAAGCTCAGAGTTCCCATTTTTATGTTACATGCTGTGTTGTGATGTAGGGACACGGAGACGGATGTAATTCAAATCCTACTCTCTGGAACAGTGATTCTCAACCTGTGGATTGAGACCCCTTGGTTTGAAGGACCCTTTCACAGGGGTCGCCTAAGACCCTCAGAAAATACAGATATTTACATTATGATTCATAACAGTGGCAAACTTACAGTTATAAAGTATAAATGAAAATAGTTTTATGGTTGGGGTCACCACAACATGAGGAACTGTATTTAAGTGTGGCAGCATTAGGGAGGTTGAGAAGCACTGCTCTAGAAAATCATGCTAGCAGGGGGAGGAAGACATGTAAACAAAACTAAAGGATTTTATTTTTTCTTGGCTGTACAGGTTATTGTTTAGGCATAATGGTCATTTCAAGGCACAAATGTCAGTAACACCGTTAGAGGAATTGCACATACAAACCAAGGTCATGAACAGCTTTACTGGAAGTAATGCTTATCTGAGTCATTGGGCCAGGTGTATCCTCTCAAGGACAACTCAGGGGAATTGGTTTTCCTGGTGTGAACAGACTTGAGGCAGTTCCGGGTTTTGAGGGAGGAAGATAGAAAAGGTATAGTAGAAATAATAGTTAACATCTCTAGTAACTAGTAATAGTAACACTAATAGTAAGAACTAAGTATTATGAGCCAGGTTTGCTGATGCATGGCCAATGATCCTAGCACTCAGGAGCCAAGGTAGGAGGATCAAAAGTTCAAGGCCAGCTTGGACTATAAAGGAGATGCTTGTCTCAAAAAACAAAAACCTACCACCACTGCAAACTTAGATATTGTCCTAATGAACATTACTATTTCCATTAGGAAACTAGAATTAACCAGACGTGGTGGTGCATGCCTTTAATCCCAGCACTCAGGAGGCAGAGGCCACCCTTGTTTACAGAGCAAGTTCCAGGACAGCCAGGGCTACATAGAGAAACCCTGCTTCAAACTGCCACCCTACAAAAAGATATTAGAATTATTCCATTTTAGAAGCAAGAAAAGATAAGGTTTAATGGGATTACATTTTATGTAAGGTGACATGTAAGGAACAGTGACTTTTTTTTGAGATAGGGTTTCACTATGTAGTGCTAGCTGTCCTGGAATTCACTCTGTAGACTAGACTGGCCTGGATCTCTGCCTCCTCAGTGCTGGGATTAAAAGCATGAACCACCACCGCACTAGAACAGTGACTTTTAATTCAGGAAACTGACCACACAGTCCGTTTTTAAAACCACAAATCAGATCAGTGACACGATCAGATTCAGAAAGATTTAAGAGTGGAAAAAAATGGATGCAAGACAGAAAAGCATCGTAGAATCACTAGAGATCAATGGAGTATGATGCCTTAAGTGGTGTGGGTTCCTGAGGACCAGAGAAGTTTTTTTCAAACGATTTCTTTCTTTTTATGTGCATTGGTGTTTTGCCTGCGTGTGTTTGTGTGAAGGTGTTGGATCCACTGGAACTGGACTTACTGACAGTTGTGAGCTGCCATGTGGGGGCTGGGAAATTGAATCCGGGTCCCCTGGAAGAGCAGCCAGTGCTCTTAACCTCTGAGCCATCTTCTCCAGCCCTAGAACAGGGTTTTCGAGGCCGGGATGCAATTGAGAAATATTGGGGTGCACAGTTCCCCGAACATGGGGTAATTAGACGTGATCTTGCGTGATCAGATAGGAAGACCCTTACTCAGTTTGGGTCTTGAATGCACAGCATGTAAGGGTCCCGGGAATAAAGAGAGGCGAGGTTTCCCAGGTACCCCCGATTAAAAGAGGATGCCTCAAGGGGCAGCCCTTTCCCACCTTCTCCACTTCTCCCAACAGCAGCCGCGAAAGCGTGGTCGTTTTTTTGAGACGCCCCCCAACTCCAGTCCCGTCCAGGGAAAGCGCTGAGTCATCCCGCCAGGGCGGCCGGGGCGGGGCGGGGCTCAGCCAGGTCCCCCTCCTCCCGCACCCCTGGCCCGCTCCGAGTCTCGCGATAACTTTGTGGGTTATAAAAGCTGCACCCCGCGCACGTCTCGGGCGTCGTCTTCCTTCCTTGCCGTGAGTGTTTCTCAGAGACCTGTGACTCGGCCCTGGTGAGTGTGCGGGTATCGCGCGGGCGCGAAACGAGGCTCGCGCCTCAGGTCACCGGTTCTTTCTGTCCCAGGCCGGGCCCAGCTCCGCAGGGGCGGTCTCGGGCTGAGGCAGCCGGGCGAGGCCTGGTCCCACGAGTGCTCGGACGCTACTCGCATTCTTCACGTGGCCCTTCGTTCCCGGACCTGTTGGAACCTGAGGCTAGCGTTGAGTTTCCTCCTCTCCGTGGAAACTGGCTCTGGTAGAGAGCGTCGTGGAACCGGTAGTGCTTAGTGCTCGACTAAACTCACTGCGCGCCCTCCGCTTGTGTCGCGGTGCTTTCTGAAGTGCTGGGGGTGGGTGATGGCGTGAGTGGCAGGAACCTACGTCCGTCCGGCCAAGTTGGGGCGTTCTCGGCCGATTCCTCTAAAGGAGCTTCGCAGCGGCTGGAAGTCAGTTTTCCCGGATTGGTTGGGTTTTGGAAGTGCCAGGCCATCTTGCAAAGCAAGTTAGATAAAGAAGATGGTGTATCACACTAGATAGGTAGTTGCTAAGCTGCAGCGTGCCCTTGGGGGGAAAAAACCCTTTGGTTAAAGATAATGAGTTAAAAAAAAAAAGCGAAAAGTTTGCGATGAACGACGCTCCTAGCCTTTTGGTTATTGCTGTTATGAACCAAGAAGTTTGGAACTTGGCGCATTCAGACTTGAGTGGTGTAAATTTTGTTTTAGGTTAAGTTTTTTCACTATGTGTATGTGGTCTATGTCTGGGTACATGCACGGGAGTGCAGATGCTCGAGGAGGTTAGAGGTGTGAGACTCCCTGAAGCTAGTTACAGGTGGTTGTGAACCACCCGAAGTGGGTGCCAGAAACCGAGCCAGGGTTCCCTGCAAAGAGCAGTGTAGGCTGTTAACCTTTGAGCCATCTCTAAAGCTCCTAATGGTGTAAATCTTAACAATTTATCTTGGTATTGACCTGGTTAAATAGCAAAAATCGGTTTCTAACAATACTTGGGTTTTTTTTTTTTTGTTTGTTTGTTAGTTTTTTTTTTTTTTTTTTTTTTTTTTTAACGATAGGGTTTCCTGTAACCAGGGCCGTCCTCTAATTGAACTCGGATCCTTCAGCTTCTACTTCCCAAGTTTACACTTGCTATCCCAAATCCTGCCGGTAAAGTGACTCTTCCTATACCTTTGCCCCAAGATATTGGCCCAGAGGTCAGAAACTTTAAAAAAAATTTTTTTAAAGCATTTATGTATGTGTTTGGGCTCTGGTGTTAAGGCAACCTGTAGAAGTGAGTTCCTGCTCCATCTTTATGCAGGTTCAGGGGATTGAACTAAGGTCATCAGGTAGCAAGTGCCTTGATTTACATCCAGAAACTTTTTGAGACAAGTTTTCTCAGTCTTGCCTGAGCTCAGTATCTTCCTTCCTTAGCATCCAGAGTGCTTCACTGTCCCTGGCAGAAACCTTTATTTAAAAAAAAAAAAAATTAAGGCAAGGGCTCACTTAACCTAGGTTGGCTTCAAACAAGTTATGCATAGAGAACTTCTGCTTTAAACACAACACCTAAAGTTTTGAAACAATAAATGCCAATGTCCTGGCATTGTGTTGCTTGGATCCTTGTGTCTGTTCCCCCTCTTTCCTGCTTCTGCCTAATGAATGTATAGAATAAAATGCTGTTGAAAAAACTGGTTCAGAAAGGGTGGTAGAGCTGACTTATTTAGACTGTGGAGCTGTTTGTAAGTGAAAACAAAGGCTGATATTCAGTCTTGTTTTACCCAGAAGTTGGAGCTTTTGGGTTGTGACCCTTGACTGCGATAGCCTGTGCTTACTATAATAATATAAAACAATGTATTCAAAGCTACTGGACAGTTCCATGATTGAGCTACAGTTAAGTTCCTAGGTAGGTGAAAGCACTTAGTTATTTAGAAGAACAGGCTTGTTTCAATTTTTGTTGTTGTTGCCCTTTTCAGCTGATAGCAAGATGTCTTCAGGAAATGCAAAAATTGGGCATCCTGCCCCCAACTTCAAAGCCACAGCTGTTATGCCAGATGGACAATTCAAAGATATCAGCCTAAGTGAATACAAAGGTAAGAATTAACTAAACTGGGCAAGAGGCCACTTCATATGTCTCCATGTTGAAGTGAAGTCATGGTTAGGACAAGAGTAGTTATCCTAGATATAAGCCTCTTACATTTACCTGATTACCTTTTTAGTGGTACTTATATTATTGGAAAGATTCTTGAGTTTTGAAGTACTGGGGATTGAATTTAGGGCCTCAACACATGCTAGCAACCCTCTACCACTGAATTCCATCCTCCACCCTCATCTCTCTCTCTCTCTCTCTCTCTCTCTCTCTCTCTCTCTCTCTCTCTCACTCTCTCTCTCTCTCTCTCTAGTTGGTGTTGTAAAAACAGGGTCTCTATGTAGTTCTCCATATCCTGGAGCTCACTATTTACATCTGGCTGGCCTTGAACTCATAGGGATCCTCCAGCCTCTGCCTCCTTTGTACTAGGATTAAAGGCATATGCCACTGTGCCCTCTGGTTCTTTCTTTCCTTTTTTTTTTTTTTTCTTTGTAGTTTTTTTCCCCCTCTTTTGGTTCTTTCCTTTTTTTTTTTTTAAAGATTTATTATGCATACAGTGTTCTGCCTGCATGTGTCCCTACAGGCCAGAAGAGGGCACCAGACTCATTACAGGTGGTTGTGAGCTACCTTGTGGGTGCTGGGAATTGAACTCAGGACCTCTGGAAGAACAGCCAGTGCTCTTAACCTGAGCCATCTCTCCAACCCCTTTCTTTTCTTTTTTGTTTGCTTGTTTGAGACAAGGTCTCATCTCACTATCCCCTGGTTGACCTGGACGTTGATACGTAGGTTTGCTTTCATTAAAAGTGTCTGCCATCAGTGCTTGGCCTTCTCCCCCTCTCTTTTTTTGGGGGTGTTTTTCGAGACAGGGTTTCTCTGTGTAACAGCTCTGGCTGTCCTGGCCATTCCTCTTTTTTGGGGGGTGGGGTTTAAGACAGGGTTTCTCTGTGTAGCCCTGGCTGTCCTGGAACTCACTTGTAGACCAGGCTGGCCTTGAACTCAGAGATTTGTCTGACTTCGCCTCCTGAGTGCTGGGACTAAAGGCGTGTGCCACCATAGCCCGGCCTTAAGTTGGAAAACTTTTAAAACATTTTTTATTTTTATGTGTATGGGTGGTTTTTTTTTTCTGTGCACCATGTGCACACAAATAGGGGGACATTGGATCCCCTGGGACTGGAACTATAGATTTTTGTGAGCCCCCACATCTGTACTGGACCTCGGGAGGAGCAGCCATTGTGATTAACCTCTGAGCCATCTTTGTAGTCCCCTTCATCTCTTGTTTTAAGAAAACTTTACTACATTTAGTCTTTCACATCAAATCTTTGGAGCTGTGGCTTTGCTTCTGCTCACAGGGAAAACTTGGTAACTGCAGTTACATTTTGTTTGCCATGGTTTCATACAGATACTTGACAGATTCTGCTAATGTTCTACCTTCCCTCCTTTCTTTTTAAAAAAATTGACTCCCCAGCTGAGTGTAGTGGTGCATCAAGTGGGTCTCTGGATTTCAGGCCAGCCAAAGCTGCTTAGTGATACCCTGTCTCAAAAAAAAGCAATAATAAATTAATTAGTTTTTAAGGGCTATTTATTTTTATGTGTGTGAGTTTTACCTGCACACACAACACTGCTTGTGTGCATGGGTGTTGGAGCTCTTGGAACTGTAGTTACAGATGGTTGTGAGCTGCTGTGTGGCTGCTTGGATCCCAACAGTCCGTTGAGTCCTTTGAAAGAGCAGCACGAATACTCATAACTGCTGAGCTATCTCTGATTGCCATTCTTCTCTCCTTCCTTACAGCCTCAGTAGCTAGTTCTTTTGGGACCATTGAGAACACGGATTCTTTAGTTACAAGGCTTAAATGCTGGTATTAATTGTACCTTTCTTAGTGGTACATAAGTTTCTGGAGATAGCTTTTGGGTAAAATGCTCAGTTAAATTCTCTGACATCAGACTTTGTTGTTGGGATGAGAACAGCTACTGTGGGCCCTATGGAAAATATCTCTTAGAGCAAACAGTTTAAAATGCACCTCCATGGGCCTGGAGAGATGGCTCAGTGGTTAAGAGCACTGGCTGCTCTTCCAGAGGTCCTGAGTTCAATTCCCAGCACCCACATGGTGGCTCACCACCATCTATAATGAGATCTGGTGCCCTCTTCTGGCATGTAGGCATACATGCAAGCAGGACACTATACACAATAAATAAATAAATCTTTAAAAAAAAAAAAAAAAATGCACCTCCAGGGAGGTGACCCTGGCACATGGTCTAGGGAGTAGTTGCTCTCTGCCCTGTAGGGCTGGGTCTACTGAGGCTTCAAAGTGCTTGTTAAGCAAAGCCACAGAGAGATTGCTTAGATGAGTCAAGGACTGCTTGTTTTGACTTTCAGACGTAGTTGCTACCCAAAAATAAGTGGATATTTGGAAATGTTCCAGTTCAACCATTAGGTATGGTGAGAGGCTTCATGGCCCATCTAAAGATTTACTTTAGTGATAATCTGAGTTACTAAAGGAAAATGGAACTAGAAGGCCTGTTACCTTATACCAGTACTTTGGGTACTTTTGGTGTAAAATTTTTCTAGTTAGGTCCTGTTGGGCTTGTTAGGAACACACTTGTGTTGTGATTCATGAAATTACTTAAACATAGCCCATGAAGGCTGGGAACATGTTCATCAGATGCAAGTACTTACTGCACAAGCCTGAGGACTCAGATTTATTTCAGTCCATGGAACCTACATAAAAATAGGATTCATTGGTTGGCTTCTATAATCCCACTAATGCTATTCTAAATAGATGGAGCTAACTAGTCTGTTGTACCACATCTTAACAACAGAAACAAGAAACCCTGCCCATAACAAGATAGAAAGGGAGAAATTTACCCATGAGATTGCCTAATTATTCTTCCATCATTGCATAAAGGCCGTCTTTACTTTCTGTCTTCGTTGTTGGTTTGTCTTTTTTATTTTATTATTAAATTTAGTTATTTTATGTGTGTGGGTGTTTGTCTGCATATATGTCTATCATACATGTATGTCTGGTGCTTCAAGAGGCCAGGAGAGTGTCTTGGACCCCCTGGTATTGGAATTAGACAGTTGTGAGCCATCATGCGGATACTGGGAATTAAATCTGGGACCTCTAGGAGAGTAGCCAGCTCTTAACTGTTCTATGACCTCAAACTCCTGATTCTCCTGTCCCTACCTCCCAAGTCCTAGGATAATGGCCTTGAATTTCTACCCCCAACTTTTGTTGTTGTTGGTTGTTTTTTGTTTTTGTTTTTTTTGAGACGGTGTTTCTCTGTAGCCCTGACTGTCCTGGAACTTGCTCTGTAAACCAGGCTGGCCTTGAACTCAGATCGATCTGCCTCTCCCCCCCCCCCCAGTGCTGCCACCACCAGGCGGTTGTTTTGTTTTTGACAGAGTCTCCTGTAGTCCAGGTTAGCTTGGAATTTATTAAATAGCCTAGGCTGGTCTTGAACTTTTGATTTTCCTGCTTTTGTCTCCTGAAAGCTAGATTACAGCCAGAGTTAGTTACCACACCGTGTGTGTGTGTGTGTGTGTGTGTGTGTGTGTGTGTGTGTGTGTGTGTGTGTGTGTGTGTGTGTGTGTGTGTGTGTGTTTTGGGGTGGGTGGTTGCTTTTTTGGAGATTGTCTTACTATGTATCTGGGAGCTGGCCTGGAGCTCGCTATGTAGCTCAGGCTGGTCTCTGACTATTTTTCTGCCACTGTATTCCACCCTGACTTCCTCTTTGGACTCATCATTTTACAGTAGAGGAGAGAGACATCCATCCATTTTGCCTTTGCTTTCTGAATGTACCACCACACTTCATTTTCTAGGTACTGTTTATAATAAAGTCCATCCTTGCCGCCCCTCTCCTTTTTATCATTGAAATAACTTGATGTGTGTGCTAATATTAGCCTCTCAGAAGATCAGAATTAGGCTGAATACTGTTTATTCTATAGTTAGCATTCAAAGAATATAGAGGCAAATAATATAGAATTGAAATAGAAGAAATGGCTTTACTTCAGGCTTTCTTGGTATAAAGGTAACTTCTAAGAGCCATCTTTATTGAGCATCCTAACATTGTGTGATAACTGTGTCTGTCGTTAACTTTAAAAGTCTTCCATAGGAAAAGATCTTTGCAAAGGAATATTGTAGGAATTTCTTGTTTTCATTGATTGTCTCTAACCCTGGCTTATCTGGTTCTTACTGTGTAGTTCAGGCTGGCCTCAAACTCACAGCAGTCCTCCTGCCCTGAGTGCTAGGATTACAGGCGTGTAATAGCACCCCTAGATCAGAAACTCAGTTTCAAAGCTAACCTTTTGATTACTTATTTTTCCTCCCCAGGAAAATATGTCGTATTCTTCTTTTATCCTCTTGATTTTACTTTTGTGTGCCCCACTGAGATCATTGCTTTCAGTGATAGGGCAGAAGAATTTAAGAAACTCAATTGCCAAGTGATTGGAGCTTCTGTGGATTCTCACTTCTGTCATCTGGCATGGTAAAGTTTTTGGTCCCATTTCGCATGTGGAATTTTTTGCTTTTTGTTTTTGAGTCGGGGTTAATACGTAACTCAGGTCAGCGTTCTTTCATTTTGTAGTATCTCCAGCCTTAGCTTCATGAGTAGCTGGGAATACAGGAGTATACCACAACACCTGGCAGTATGTTGTGGATTTCTTGAACAAGTTTAGAGGTTTGGCAGTAGACTTAAGTATTGGCTTCTGGGCTCCAACTTCCTTTCTCTGCCTAGCAGCAGAGGCACATCAGCTTGAGTTGCTGTTGTCTGATATAGACTGATGACCACTCTTGTCATCAAGCCCTTCAGTTTACTGTTGGAAAAAGTGTTTTGGGAAAGGGTATCTGAAAGATGAGGTCCAGCTAATATTCTTGCTTCACAAATGTTTGAATGAATGGATTCTAAGAATGCCTTTTGCTTTAGGATTAATACACCCAAGAAACAAGGAGGATTGGGACCCATGAACATTCCTTTGGTATCAGATCCCAAGCGTACCATTGCTCAGGATTATGGAGTCTTAAAGGCTGATGAAGGCATCTCTTTCAGGTATGTACTTTAAGGGTGGGAGGTGGCAGTTACTATGAGAATGGTCTTGTTAGCTAATAGTCATTTATTTGGAAAAGCCAGAACACATGATCTGAGGAGCATCTTTCCTCATGTCATTTTCATTGTGTATGTGCCCTGTGGATGTCAGAAGACCTGGAGTGTTGTTCTCAGACAGTGTCCACTGTTTTTTAGAGATAGTGTCCCATTGGCTACAGACTTGCCAGGTAGGCTGGGCTGGCTGGTAAGTAAGTCTCAAGGACTTGCCTGTTTCTGCCTCCTCAGTGTTGGGATTGTGTGCTTAATTTTAAATACATATTTATTGTATGTGTTGTGTTTGGATGTTTGCATACATGTGTGTATGTGTACCACCTATGCCCATTGGATCCCCTGGAACTGGAGCTAAAAATGGTTGTGAGGCACCATTCCAGTGCTCAGAATCAAACTTAGGTCCTCTGGAGAGGGCAGCCAGTACTCTTAATCTCTGAGCCATCTCTCCAACTCCTTGATTTTTTTTTTCGTAATTTATTTTATTTTTTAAAGGTGAGATTACTTGTTTGGTAATTTTTTATTTTCTTTAATTTTTTTTTTTTTTTGGTTTTTCGAGACAGGGTTTCTCTGTGTTGCTTTGTGCCTTTCCTGGAACTCACTTTGGAGACCAGGCTGGCCTCGAACTCACAGAGATCCACCTGCCTCTGCCTCCCGAGTGCTGAGATTAAAGGCGTGCACCAGCACCACCACCACCACCACCACCGCTCCGAGGTAATTTATTTATTTATTTATTTTTTATTTTTTTATTTTTTTAAGATTTATTTATTATGAGCCGGGCGGTGGTGGCGCACGCCTTTAATCCCAGCACTCGGGAGGCAGAGCCAGGTGGATCTCTGTGAGTTCGAGGCCAGCCTGGACTACCAAGTGAGTTCCAGGAAAGGCGCAAAGCTACACAGAGAAACCCTGTCTCGAAAAACCAAAAAAAAAAAAAAAAAAAAAAAAAAAAAAAAAAAAAAAAAAGATTTATTTATTATGTACCGTGTCCTGCCTGCATGCCTTCACACCAGAAGAGGGCACCAGATGTCATTACAGATGGTTGTGAGCCACCATGTGGTTGCTGGGAATTGAACTCAGGACCTCTGGAAGAACAGCTACTGCTCTTAACCTCTGAGCCATCTCTCCAGCCCGTAATTTATTTTTTTAATGGGTTCTGGGGCTCAAATTCGGGTGCTCATACTTGGAAGAGCATCACTTTACTTTTTTCCCCAGCCTCTTTGTTTTATTTTTGAGACAATTTTGTTATGATATAGCTCAAATTGGCTTTGAATTTGCTATATAGTTCAAGTTGACCTCATACTAGTGATCCTCTTCTCAGCCTCCTGGGAACTAGAACTTGTAGGTATGTGCTGCTATGCCTATCCTCCAACCCATTTTATTTTGGACATGGTGTCTGATAGCTGAGGATGTTCTTGTACTCCTGATCTACTGTTTCCACTTTTCTTTTGTTCACTACTCCTTCTGGTTTATGTGGTCCTGGGGATCAAACCCAGGGTTTTCTGCATGCTTGATAAGCATGCTGCCAACTGAGCTGCATCTATTTCTCATTGCATTTTTCAGTGTAGTGGTCACACTAATAGTAGGCTAGTATAACTCTTATAGAACAGTCCATTCATTTCCTTAGGACTTCTGTGCAAAACTTTGACTTGTAATGCCTCTTTCTCAATTCTTCAATCTCTTCCACCCAGGGGCCTCTTTATTATTGATGATAAAGGTATCCTTCGACAGATCACTATAAATGATCTTCCTGTTGGCCGCTCTGTGGATGAGATTCTGAGACTAGTGCAGGCCTTCCAGTACACTGACAAGCATGGTGAAGGTAAGTCATCTACCTGCTAATGAGACAGCAGTATGGTAGGGTGCAAAGGCTATTGGGTAATTGTGTCTATGCAAGAAATGGAAGTGTTTGTTTTTTATTTTTCAAGACAGGGTTTCTCTGTGTAACTTTGGCTGTCCTAAAACTTGCCCTGTTGACCAGGTTGACCTCAAACTCAGAGATCCACCTGTGCTGGGGTTAAATGCATGCACCATACTTGGTGGAAAGGTTTTTGTTTTTGCCTTTTTTTTTTTTTTTTTTTTAAATGTATAAGGAGCTCGAAGGCTGGAGAGACGGATCAGAGATTAAGAGCACTGGTTGCTCTTCCAGAGGATCCAGGTTCAATTCCCAGCATCCTCATGGCAGCTTACACTGTCTAGAATTCCAGTTTCAGGGGATCTGGCACCCTCACACAGACATACATGTAGACAAAACACCAATGTACCTAAAATAAAAAATAAAAAAATTTTTTTTTTAAATTAGGAGCTTAAGAGGTTAAATGAACTTGCTCTCTTGTAGAGGACCTGGATTTGATCCCTAGCACACACATGTCTATCACAAATAGTCTATTATAATTCCAGTTCTGGGAGGACCAGCGCCCTCTTCTGATCTCCAAGGGCACAAGGCATGTATGTGGTACAGGCAAAAAACTCATACACATAAAATCTTAAAAAATTATTTATGGTTGCTAGGAATGTAGTTCAGTGGTAACTTCTAACCTGTGAATTCCTGAGGTTTGTGTCCAGCCCACATGGTGTCAATTTATTTTTGGGGCTGAAGATGTAACTTAGTATAATCCTAGCACTTCTGGGAGGAAGAGGCCCGAGGATCATGAGGTCAGGCTCATAGAGGCTAGTTAGTGAGTTACAGGGCTACAGTGAGTTTTAGGGCTACCTGCTCAAAAAAGAGTGGGGTAGGGTAGGTGTGTGAGAAATAGAGAAGAAGATGAGGTAAAGTTTTAGAGTCAAAGGAATTATTTTGCCATGTAGAAGTCTGTTCTTGCTACTTGCACTGGCTCAGTTCTGTAATTCTAGCATGTGCAATTTCAAGACAACCTGGGCTAAAGAGTTAATTAAGTCTTTGTCTGGGATTAAAGTCATGTGACACTATTGCCTAGCAAGGCCATTGTATTCTACATGGCAAGTTTCAGGTATCCAAGACAAGGTCTCCCAAAAGTGTTTAAGGAAGGCAACTGGAAAATAGCTCAGGAGTTAGGAGCACTTGCAGCTCTTCCAGAAGACCTGAATTCAGTCCTCAGCATTCATACCAAGTTACTCATAAATATTTGCCTGTCATTCTCGCTCCAGAGGAGCTGACATCCTCTTCATGGTCTCTGGATATTCATACATACACAGAGACACAAATTAAAAGTAATAAGTGCTGGAGAAATGGCTCAGGGATTCAGAGCAGCGGCTGCTCTTTCAGAGGACTATGGTTTGATTACCAGAACCTGCAGGGTGGCTCACAACTATCTTGTAACTCCAGTTCAAGGGAATCTGATACCCTCTTCTGGTCTTCTTGGGCATTGGATACAATGTGGTGCACACACATACATGCAGGCAAAATACTCATAAAGTAAAAATGAAAGAAAATTTAAAAAATAAATCTTAACAGGAAAAAAAAATAGGGGTTAGAGAGATGGTTCAGTGGTTAAGACATTCTGTTCCACCCACATGACAGACAGCTCACAATTTCTGTTACTTCTGTCCCTGGAGATCAGACGTCCTCTTCTGGTTTCCTCAGGTACTGCATGCATGTGGTTCAGAGACATACATATAAGTAAAACATTCATAGACATACAAAGAAAGCGTAATCCTTGTAAATTCTAAACATGATTTGGTATGTTTCTCTTTTTTGAGATGAGATAGTATCTTCCTATGTAATCAATGCTGGCCTTCAACTATGTAGCCCAGCCTGTCTTCAGATTCCTACAAATCTTCCTCAGCATCCCAAGTGCTAGGAATAGAAGTATGAGCCACCATTGCTGCCTATTGATTCTGGGTCCTCTGGAAGAGCAACCAGTGCTCTTAACTGCTGAGCCATTTTTCCAGCCCCTCCTCTTGTTTACATTATTGTTTTAAATTTTATTTTGTATATGTGGATGTGTGCCGTGATGCACCAGTGGAGGTCAGAGGACAACTCTAGCGTCAGTTCTTTGCTTCCACTGAGGGTTCTGGTCATCACCACACTTAGCTTGTCAGACTTATCTGGGAAGTGTGTTTACCCACTAAGCCATTTTGCTGGTCCCACTTTTAATTTTTAGTCAAGTATTAAATAGAATATAGCCCCCTGGACCAGGTGTCTGTGCTGTTAACATGTTCCTTATGTTTATAATCTCATGCTTTGAGGGTAGGGCTGGAGAGAGAAAGGTAAATAATCATACTCACTTTTAGAGGCCTGTTAAAATTCTGGTTTTGCCTCTTTTTTTAAATTTTTTTTAATTTTTTTTTATTATGTATACAGCATAAATGACAGCAGGCCAGAAGAGAGCACCAGATCTCATTACTGATGGTTGTGAGCCACCATGTAGTTGCTGGGAATTGAACTCGGGACCTCTGGAAGAGCAGTCAGTGCTCTTAACCTCTGAGCCATCTCTCCAGCCCCTAGTTTTGTCTCTTACAGAAGGTTAAAGCTGTTAGAATATGGATTAATTGAACATCTGAGTGATCTAAAGGTGTTTGGCTAGTGTGGAAGGCTGATAATCGGACAGTAAGCTCAGATAATTTTAAAGTATTTGCATGTATGGACGTTAGTCTGACTGCTTCTGAGATTGCTCCATAGTATTGAGTGAGGGTCACTGCTAAAGTAAAAGGAACATATGTTGTTCGAGTGTCTAAAGGTCTTATCATAAACCCGGAGCCATTGGGTGCTAGAATGCTGCTGAGCCGTCTCTCTAGTCCTCTCATTTAGTTCTTGTTCCATGTTTTCAGTACTCAGAATTGACCACAGTCTGATATTGAGGCCATCATCTTTGGATTAATCGAGGCTTCCCTCTTATTTTCACAAAAGAAATTGAGATTTCTTTCTGCTGTATTACTACCTTTTTTTTTTCCCTTGGAGACAGGATCTTACTATATAGTGCTGCCTGGACTGGCCTGAAACTCGATATGTAGACCGCCTGCCTCTGCCTTCCGAGTCACCCACCATACTTGTTTGTATTACTAGACTTTGATGAATACATGTCTCAAATGGAAGTGGAAAAATCAGATTTCCTTTGCCTTTATTTCTAGCTTGAAGTTGTTATGCAGAAAATACAGCCATTCTCACACTTTTTCCTAAGGGTGTGAAAGATGGAAGTAGAGGGCAGTTATTAGTGAAGCGGCATTCGTACAAGTGCTCTTTTGTAGTTTCGCAGTTAATGCTGAAGTAGGAGCAGTTAGGTATGGTAGGTTGCACCTGACATCACCTCCTGGCTTTAAATTAGCTTATTAACTACTTGGCTTTCAAGGATGGTTTGTTACCTCTTCCCTTTTTTTCTTAATTTAAGTAGTATGTGAAGCATACATAAAATTGTATACAGCATGTGAATTATTAGCCCTTCTATAAATCTTAATGTCTTGTTATGTATATTTTAGACAGGTTTTTTTTTTTTTTTTCTTTTTGGTTTTTCCAGACAGGGTGTCTTTGTGTAACTACTGACTGTACTAGAACTTACCCTGTAGACCAGGCTGGCCTTGAACTCACAGAGATCAGCCTGCCTTTGCCTCCCAAGTGCTGGAATTAAAGGTGTGCATCACCACTGCCCTTCAGACAGTTTATTGTTATATGTAAGTGCAGATGAAGTTTTATTGCTTAGATTTTGGGTGCAAATAAGTGATCTATCTATAATAGTAGGTTAGGGCTGTGGTGAAACTTTTTTAGCCTTATACCAAAAGCTTAAGTGACAGATTACAAAGTTGAGTTACCCTAGGACAAGATTTATATTGTTTTTTTTGCCTCCCCAGCATCAGATTTTTTTTTTTAAACACTTTGGCAGCAGGCATGTAATATTAAGGGTTAAACCTAGGGCCTTGGGCATACTAGGCAAACACTGTACTATACTACTGGGCTATATTATGTATCTCCAGTCTTCTTTGTGTTTTTTTTAAAGATTATTTATTAAAGTTATGTATGTGTGGGTGGGTCTGAGCAGGTGCTAGCAGCATCTAGAGGGTGTTGAGTTCCAGGCAGTTGTACACTGTCTGGTGTTAGTATACACTAAGCTCTCTCTCCAGCCGCTCTAGGTTTCCTTTTACTTTTTTTTGTTTAGGTTTTTGGTTTTTTGTTGTTGTTTTGTTTTGTTTTTTGTTTTTTTGAGACAGGCTTTTTCTGTGTAACAGCTCTGGCTGTTGTAGAACTCACTTTGTAGACCAGGCTGGCCTGAGATCTGCTTGCCTCTGGGATTATAAAGGCGTGTGCTATTTGGCTACTTTTGCATTTTGAGATAGTCTCCCATCAAGACTAGCTTGGAATTTGGCCTAGACTGGCTTCCCGCTGTGGCAAGTACTTGAGTCCTGGGATTAGTAGGCACAAGCCATTCCCAGCTTTGTGGTTTGGTTTGGATTTTTGATTTGGGAATCTTATATCATTCACCCCTGTCCACTCCCACCCCCCAAAAAAACAAATTTAAGTCAATTTTGTGTTGGCCATATACTTAGAGCATGTTCAAACTCCTACTGGCCAGCCCCTCCCCCCAAGGAAAAGTGTATCTTTCTCCCAGAAGCCATATACTGTGGAGAGCCATGTGGTAGCTGGTAAGGGGCAGGCCAGCTCACCTTCATGATCATCCCATGCCAGCAAGGGGTGGGGCCAACTCCTGAGCTCATGCCCACACAGGGCTACCTTGTGGTTTTTGTTTTTTGTTTTTTTGAAACAGATCTCTCTCACTTGCCTGGAATTCACTATGTAGACTAGGCCAGCCTTGGATTTCCAGAGATTTGGCTGCTTCTGCTTCTTGAGTGCTGGAGTAAAGGCATGGGCCATGCAAAATTTGTAGTCTAGGCTGACCTCATGCAAAATTTGTAGTCTAGGCTGACCTCGAACTCATAATTCTCCTGTGTCCATTTCTTCAGCATATCTTGCCAGTGTGTGCCACCATAGCAAGACAGCCCTTTGTTCATACAGATGAGGGAGGCAGATACACTCCACTGAGCAGGTTAATAATTAGTGATACCTTTCTCTTGCAGTGTGCCCTGCCGGCTGGAAACCTGGCAGTGATACCATCAAGCCTGATGTCCAAAAGAGCAGAGAATATTTCTCTAAGCAGAAGTGAGCACTGGGCCATTTTTCTGCCAGGCTGCATTGGTCAACCAGAAGAAAATTTCTTGTACTCTGTTCGTGCTTAAACAAAATGTGGTGTGATACAAGACATCCCTTTCCTACAGTACTGGGGGCGGTTAGCCTTTCTTCCACTATTGGGAATAGCCTGAGGTTTATTGTGAGTTGCAGAAATCAACCTGTTGTTCTTTTTTTTAGTATCCATTAAACTTGATCTCTGAGAACTTGGTGATTCATTTTAAGGCAATAGTAGATTTTTTGGTGTAGATGAACGTGTGTGTTGTATGTTGTTTGTGTGTAAATGTGGAAGCCAGAGAGTGTTCAGGTGCTATTTACTTTTTTAAATTTTCTTCCAAAGGATTTATATGTATGAATCTTTTCCTTGCATATGCACTATGTACCTGCCTGTTGTATCCCCTATGGGGATTATTGTCAGCCACAGTTGTGGGTGCTGGGAATTGAACCTGGGTCTACTGCAAGAGTAGCAAGCAGCAAATGTCCTAACCACTAGCCATCTCTCCAGTCCCTTACTTTTTGAGGCAGGATCTCTTACTGATATGGAACTTGACATGTAGATGTGGCTAGCAAACTCAGGATCTGCTTCTCTCTCCAGTGCTGGTTTTATAAGCACGGCCTATCATGCTTGGCTTCTTTTTTGATAGAGGAGTTCCATGGACCTAATTCATTTCCTCATAAAGAGCACTTTATGGCTGAGCTATCTCCATCGCCTCTGCTATTCTTAAAAAAATTAAGTTTAAGAGCTGCCTCAGGGCTGGAGGTATAGCTCTTGGTAGAGTGCTTACCTGGTGTTCTGCTTTGCAGCTGGGGGTGGGACCAGCTGCTGCCTAGGAATGGTATTGTGCAGTGGACTGGGCCCTTCTAAGTCAGTTAGACACCCCCCCCACACACACAAAAAAATGCCACAGCCCAGTCTCATCTAGACAATTCTTCAGTTGGGGTTTCCTCTCCCAGGAGACTAGTTTACTGTCAAGTTGACAAATTAACCAGTGTGTTCTAACTCTACTGCCACATAAATGGTGTAATGGGACATACCTGTAATACCAGTACTAGAGAAGTGAAGGCACAAGAAAATATCAGAGTAGTACTCCGGAGGCAGAAGCAGGTGGATCTCTGAGTTCGAGGCCAGCCTGGTCTACAGAGCAAGTTCCAGGACAGGCTCCAAAGCTACACAGAGAAACCCTGTCTCGAAAAACCAAAAAAAGAAAAAAAGAAAGATTAAGAGGTTTACCTGTGTGGACAGCACTCTACTCTGCACTACCCACAACTCCAGCATGACTGTGTAAGGATTTCATAAACACCTGTGTAGCTAGAGTTTTCCTGCCTGGCCCACAGTCAGGACAAATCTCTGTCACCCGCCAGTCCCACGGCCACTCAGACCCGACCAAGTAAACACAGAGCCTTATATTGGTTGCAAACTGTATGGCCGTGGCAGGCTTCTTGCTAACTGTTCTTACAGCTTAAATTAATCCATTTCCATTAATCTATACCCTGCCACATGGCTCGTGGCTTACCGGCATCTTTACATGCTGTTTCTCATCATGGCGGCTGGCGGTGTCTCCTGACTCAGCCTTCCACTTCCCAGCTCTATTCTCCTCCTTGTCCCGCCTATACTTCCTGCCTGGCCACGGGCCAATCAGTGATTTATTTATTGACCAATCAGCAACACATTTGCATACAGACCATCCCACAGCACTTCCCCTTTTCTTTTCTTAAAAAGGAAGGTTTTAACCTTTACACATCTCCAAAGTCAGCTTGGTGTATTTGGGAATTTGGGCTTAGCTTCTCTTATTACTTCCTGCTGGAGGGGGGCGCTGTATCTTCTGGGGAAACAAAGAAAATTTTAGGATCATGGAGTAGTCCGTGAGGCTGTATCGTCTGAGCCAGTTGCCTTGAAACCATTTTGGATGTTGGATCATCTGGGCCTTGGTGTCACCTTTCAGGGGGTCTTGGCTGGTCAAACCTGATGTATCTTAATGTGGAACAAATCCATAGCCTCTGGCTTTCTGTGGGAACAAAAGCAGAATCTCCTTTCCAAAGCAACATATCCTTATATCCAAATTTTGAAGTTAAGGTACCTTTAAAATACACATTTTGGCATAACTCAACAGCTTTTACAATCAAATGTTTTTCTGCAGTTAAAAATCCCAAAGACAACACAATCCAGATTCTCTGTGTAATATCCATTTTTACGTGGCTTATTTTTTATATTACCTTTACTGTCTCTTTAAAGACTTTATTTTTTAAAACTATGTATTTGTTTTTATAACTCTATACACCTGATTCCATGTTGTACTATTTGACACTTGTTCCTTACTTTTGGTTGCTACAGTGTTAGTAAACTCATTTGTAACCAAATGTAGATCACACTTTGGACAGACCATCATGCAAGCATGTGGGTCTGAGTCCAATCCCCAACAACCACATAAAATGCCAAGACCAATGAATGCTATGTGTCTGTAATCTTAAGTGCAGGGGAGGCAAGGAGACAGGCAGAGTGCTGGAGCTTGCTGGTCAGCAAACCTCAATATGAGTTCAGTGAGATTGTCTCAAAGAACAGCTTCCTCTAATTCCAGCCTCAAGAAGGCTAACATGCTTTGGCCTATACACAAATGCAAAGTCTTGCCTTGTAGACTGTGGGGCGTTTACTCACCACCCCCACAGTTCCCCAGAGTTTTCTTGAGTGCGAGCAGCAGGAAATATTAGATAGAAGGATTTATTGCAGAGATAAACAGAAAATAAAGGATAGCCTCAAGAGGGCCTGGAACCTTTTCCAAGGGGCCCTGTCTCTGCCCCAGGGTATTTATAGAGACGCCAAGGGGTGGAGCAAATGACCTCCCCCCAGCACAGCCAAGTGCAGACCATCTCAGACACCTGCACTCAGGCCGGTGGTCCTAATCATCCACTATGCGGACATGCTGGGTAAAGCCACGAGGAACCCGAAAATGGGCTCCCACAGGTCCCCCCTTTTTTTTTTTTTTTTTTTTTTTTGGTTTTTCGAGACAGGGTTTCTCTGTGTAGCTTTGCGCCTTTCCTGGTACTCGCTTTGGAGACCAGGCTGGCCTCGAACTCACAGAGATCCACCTGGCTCTGCCTCCCGAGTGCTGGGATTAAAGGCGTGCGCCACCACCGCCCGGCTCCCCCTTTCTTAATATATAAAAAATAACTATTAATGGCTTACAGCAATCTCCATAGCTGTTACACCTCCTAGTATGGGAGTAGAGGATGATAAAGATGGCATTTCTCTTTTGAATTAGGTCCAAGGTGACTACAGCAGTCTTAGCTGCCCCAAGCCCTTTCTAAACCAAAAACTCTAAAGGCAACTACAAACTTAAAGAATTCCTTAGCTTCATCATTACCATTAACAGGTTAACATAAATATTGTTATACATAGCCACAATTCTCTCAATCTTACAACTCAAAGCAAACTCTTAAAAGAACCATTTGAATTAGCATATATGGTGCTACATATAGTTAACAGTTTTCTCCGTCTTACAACTTTAACTCAGTCATTTGAATTTTCTTCCTAACAGAACACAGGAAAAACTTCGATGTATTCACATCAAACTTAAATATTTCCTTAACTCCACAAAACCAAGGTGCATTAATATCAATAGGTTAAACATAAGTTCTGCAAACATAAAATTCAACCTCATAACTCCTCCTTTTCTTTATAATTTTTTAAACAAAATCTCAGACCTAGTTAGAAAAAAACCAAACTTATACAATTCCTACAAACTCATATTGAAAAGCAATATTTTCAATCTAACCATTAACACTTTGAAAACTTTTAGCAAAACATCCAAAAGCAGTTTCTTAATAAAACTCTTTACACTTTAAAAGTAGTCTCTTAATATACCCCATTTGCATTTCTTACTAACAAAACATATTAATCCACTCAATTTTTAAATTAGACTAAAGAATATTAACTCTCCTTTTTCTTATAATTTTTTAAGCAAAATCTCAAAACCTAGTTAGAAAACCCAAACTTTTCAGTTTAAAGAGTTCCATTTGTAACACAAAACCAGTTCCATAAGTAATTCTATTTTTACATAAACAGTTTCACAAAACAATTGCATTTTTAACACAGAACAATTAATGAATCACCAGCATCTATGCATACATAAAACTGCATCTTGAGTCAAGGTAGAAACAATAAATTTCTTCATTTAAACATTTCCATTTTTAACCCAATTCCAGAAATAGTTCCTAGGTCATTACTATAAGTAAACTCAAAATTGTCCCATTGCAATGAAATCTCTACTGTTATTTCATTTCTTAAGTCTTAAAATTCAAATGATAAATTCTGGTACTAGCCTTCCAAATATGAGAAATCCATGACCAAAATCTTTTTGTAATTTTATCTCATTTTAAGTTCAAAAAGTTCGCCGGGCGGTGGTGGCGCACGCCTTTAATCCCAGCACTCGGGAGGCAGAGCCAGGCGGATCTCTGTGAGTTCGAGGCCAGCCTGGTCTCCAAAGCGAGTTCCAGGAAAGGCGCAAAGCTACACAGAGAAACCCTGTCTCGAAAAACCAAAAAAAAAAAAAAGTTCAAAAAGTTCAAACAAGAAAATTCTGGTATCAGGCTTTCACTTCCAAATATGAAGAAACGTTTTTCAACCAAAACTTTTTGCAGCTAACAATTTTTGTTCAAACAATCGTCTCTGAACTTTTATTCTCAAGCCAGAGACCTTTTTAGGTACAGTAGTATTCTAAACAGCACTGTTTTTGATGTTAGCTTAGGTTTTTCTGTGTTGCGTTGATTTTCCACGGATCTCAGCTGCAGATGCCTTGTGCTTGTTCTGGCGTCCGCCATTCTTAGCTTCTTAGCAGCTTCTGGAGCTTTTGAAACCATTCAGACTGCCTACTTTGCAGTCTACTGGGACACTAACCTTCTGTGTCTCGGGTTCTTTCACCATATACATTGGGAATAGATTCACATTTAACATTTACACTTTTTTACAAATTCACATATAACATTAACATCTTATTTATACTCTTTAAGGGAACTATAGAACTACTTTAGCAAATATATTTCTTATTACTTATTATATACTTATTTCTTATTTAAACTTACATTTACAACTAGTGTCTTTACTCCTTACAAGCTTATTACTACCTGTCTTAAGACTACCTTAGATATTTCTTGCAAGCTTATATTCTCAAAGGAACTCTATAGATCTATTTTACAAACTTATATAGGGCCACCATTAGCATATATCTAATTTAGCAAACACCTAAAGATTTCTTTAACACAGATCTAACAAGACAGAATTTTTACAAACTCACATCTTATTTTCATCTTTTTCTACTTCTTACTCTTAATTATTATCACTATCTGTATTAGAAAGATTCTCTTAACTAGACATGAAGTACGTACATTTCTAAAGTTTAGAGTTTATAGTCAGCTTTGCTATAAAACACTGGGATTTAGTGAGTGTTGTTGTTATAGAATTGTGATAGTTGTTGCTAGGGGACTGTAACCTTCCCAGGATGACGCCACACTCCACAGTTGCCAGTTCTCTCAGCCATTCCGGACCGGCAGAGATGCACTGTCAGCGGTAGACAGTTTTTAACTAGAGACTGTCCCTTCACCCAAATTCTTAATAGTCCCCTAAGTGCTTCAATTCAGACAAACATTTCTATTACAGCAGTACTTTTGGTTTGTTCTACTGAAAAACTTACCGTATTTAGCTGCTGTAAAGCTCTTCGCCAAATACTGCACAGCTATTAGGTGATATAAAGTATTTTTCTTTTTCTTTTTCTTTTTTTTTTTTTTTTGGTTTTTTGAGACAGGGTTTCTCTGTGTAGCTTTGTGCCTTTTTCCTGGAACTCACTCTGTAGACCAGGCTGGCCTCGAACTCACAGAGATCTGCCTGGCTCTGCTTCCCGAGTGCTGGGATTAAAGGCGTGCGCCACCACCGCCCGGCCCTAAAGTATTTTTCTAAAGGAGCTAGTAAAGCCAAAAGCGGCACAGCTCTGAACTCTTTATTTCCTCACTGTTTGCATTCACCAGTGACAAAACCTCAGAAATACTAATCGAGCCACTTTCATTCTGGTTCCTTTATAGGAAATGTCATTGGAGCTAACCTTCCTTAGTTCCACGATCCTTACCAGACGCTCCAGTAACCACCGAGCTTCATTCTCTTGTGAAAAAAACACAAACATGTCCTCGACCCCATATTAAAACAGGATCAGGACCTTTCCATAATCCCGAGCAGGGATCTTTCCATTTCACTTAAGCAAAAGTCGCTTGGATGCCACTGTGCCAAAATCTTATTGTGGCAGACTGCTCACGGACATCCATATTCAAAAAGTTCAGAACAAAAAGAGCATGATTTAATGCATTATGTGGCGATTGAGGGTAAATTTCTTCCTTTTTTATTTTTATTGTTTGAAGTTGTACTTTAAGACTGCTATGAGCCCTTTCTATAATACCTTGTTCCTGAGGATTATAAGGAATATCTGTTTTATGTACGATTTCCCATTGGGTACAAAATTGTTGAAATGCCTTACTACTATATCCAGAACCATTATCAGTTTTAATAATTTTTGGTATACCCATATATGAAAAACACTTCAAGCAGTGCATAATTACATGTTTTTTAGCTTCCCCAGATTGTGCACTAGCCATTAAAAATCCCGAATAAGTGTCAATGGTCACATGTACATATCTTAATTTGCCAAATTCTGCAATATGGGTAACATCCATTTGCCATAGATGATTGGGAAGAAGACTTCGAGGGTTTACCCCTAAGTGAGGGACAGGAAAATATTTTGGACATACTCCACATCGTTTAACTATTTGACAAGCTGCTTCTTTGGCAAGATTGAATTACTTTCTCTTAAGCTTTTGCTATTTTGATGAAGAACATGTGACTGTTGAGCCATTTCCACTTGGGATAATAATGCTCAGCCATTGCATTACCCCTCAGCTAAAGGACCAGGAAGATTGGAGTGAGCTCTAATATGGCCCACAAAGCATGGCAGCTTTCTTTTGTGGAATAACGTCTTGAATTTCTTGAAACATTTTGACTTGATTGTTGTTAGTTCCAATATTTTTACCAAAACTGTTAACTATTCAAAGGAGTCAAGGACATAGATGTTCTTTCATGAAACATATCCTTCATTAGCTTACTCTGAGAAAAAGCATTGTCAGGATTTAGTATTTTCATTTCATTAGCTTTAATTCCTGATGTTATTATCAGCTGTGATATTTAGCATTGAATTCTTATAAGGAACTTTCAGGTGAAGCAACTATTTAAGACAGATTTTTTTTGAAGTTTGTTCCCATCTATAAAGCAGTCATTTCTTTTTTGAATGTCTGTTTCTTTATCTCCTTATTAGATTTGCAAAGGAATTACTCACTGCAGGCAGTTTGTTCAAAAGGCAAAGAAGTTTTTTAATTTCAACATAAGTTTCTTCATATCTAAGACAACGTTCAGTGTATAAACTGCTTTCCCTTGTTTTCTTAAGGATTTTAAAGTGGCTTGTTTGATCTTATAGGTAGCTTTTTGTCATCCAACTACCATAAAAACTTTGCACAGCTATTAGGGTAAATAAGGCATTTTACCAATGGAGCCCCAAACCGCAAAGCACCTAGTTCCGTATCCTTTCAATTTTTCATTGGAACTGACACTTAAACTCTTAGATGATTTTCCTCCTTATTCTTTTAAAAGCTGTATTTTAAGTTTACCAGGAACGTATTTTCGAGCTGACAGAAGTGTTTCAGGGCAATGTCGCCATCTTTAGCGGAAAAACTACCTTTCCCAGAATGCATTTCCCTTATATCAGTCCATAATAATATCAGTCCCTTATATCATTTCCCTTATATCAGTCATTTCCCATAGTTCTTTTTGGGTCTGAGAGTCAACTTTACCAAGTCTTTTTACCAGACTTGCTTACAGGAGGTTTGAACAAAGTTTTTTGCTTTTGCAACGGGAGATTTGAACAAGCATTTTACATTTTCAGCTATGGCACGTTGGGAGATTTCTATTCTCTCCCTCAGCTGGCTTTAACAGGTGTCTCTCCTTCATTTGACACTGGCCCCCAAATCAGAGCTGCACCTGCCTCGTTAGTGCGCATTGAAGTGGGCAATTTCTGATAGCAACTTTCCTTGGGGCTTGTGCTTGCCTTAGCCAGTCAGTGAAAAACAAGATCGTGTACAACAGCTTTTCCATAGCTCCTTCAGAAGAGATTTTTCTCCCACTGATTTTATTCTCATTTTGCTTGTTCCTTCCCCCTCAGATGCAGAGCTTCAGGTGTCTGTTTGTGGCTCTGTACCTCTGTTAGCTGTCTTTGGAGGTAGGGGCTTCCCCCCCCCCCCCCCCATCTGCCTCAAATTCTAGCAGCTTTTTCAGGTCATGCATTTTCTGGGGAGGAATATGTCCCTTCTCTTTCTTCAGAGTCTTTCTCCCTGACAGTATCCAGTTTGGTCTCAGTTTATCCCCTCTACCCCAGAAAATTTCCGACACTACAGTGACGGCTTTCCCTGCTACTGAAGGTAGGGGCTTTTTGTCCATTTGTTTTCTGGGTCTGTGTGGTTTGCGTACAGACTGAAAATCTAACAAGGGATGTTTTTGCCATTTCTATCTTTTTTTTTTTTTTTTGGTTTTTTGAGACAGGGTTTCTCTGTGTAGCTTTGCGCCTTTTCCTGGATCTCGCTCTGTAGACCAGGCTGGCCTCGAACTCACAAAGATCCACCTGCCTCTGCCTCCCGAGTGCTGGGATTAAAGGCGTGCGCCACCACCGCCCGGCGTTTTTGCCATTTCTAAACTCCCATTAGGACAGACGTTTTGTTTCATCAGGCCTTCACCAGGCCCAGTCCCCCAGTGGGTTGCATTTGCTTGTCTGGGTGCTTATACCAGAGGCAATCACCCCTCAGGGCTACACTCCCTCATCTCATCGGGAGTCAGTTAAAATAAAGCTTTTCTCAAAGAGGTGCTTTCTCTGACAGAAAAGAAAGCTTACTCCTGGATAGTTCTGTTCTGCCCTGGCTGGGCTCTTTCCCCAGACAGCGTTCTGACTCGGCAGCACAACTGCTTCAGACAGTTCAGCTTTACTGTTTTCCCAGAAAGGTCCTTTCTCTAATAGGAAAGCTTTTCTCAGATTTCTTTTTGCAGCTGTGGACCTATCAACCCGGGACTTATAGGAAAGCAGACAACTGTGCCATTCCCACTGGCTTTAGTTTTGTTTGTTCATTAGCATTCTTCCCCTGGGTCCTGCACCTTCCTGCCTCAGCTCTGTGCTCCAGGAAGTTTGCAACTGCAGGAACCCTAGTACCCCCGAAATGCACTCCAACTCAGAGACACTGGCCAGTCGCCCCTGGGTTTTTGCTCAGAAGCCAGGATACAATGCTAACAGTTTGCATTGCTTCAGAGGATCTTTGCATTAGGACGATTAGGAGCACCCTTTCATTCTGAAAGGCTCACTCAAACAAAACCCTTGATGCCTCAGCTCCGCTGTAACTGAAAAGCTTGGCATTTTTGCTTTTCTCAGGTAAAGTTTCCTGCCCTTTTGGGCTCTCTGTAGCTCTTTACCCACACTGTCCCAAGCGTTTCCCTCAGGGTACTCTGACCCTCTGTCTTTTACCAGCTTGAAGAGACGGAGCTTAGAAGAGGTTTTTAGGAACTTGGCCCTGCCTCCTGCATTGCAGGGAGGATTTTTAAAGCTTGAAAGAGAACTTGGAGAGGTTTTGCTGTCTTAAGAGGTTTGTTGTTTTCCCTTTGAGCTAATCACAGGTGGTCCCCATACTAATATCTTCAGGTGATTCTAATTTGTCCTTATGAGAAAGTTAAAGGCTTTAGTTTTTAAGTTTAAGAGAGCTTTTGAGAAAGATTAAGGCTTTTTAGAGAGATTTTTTCCCCCAAGTTTTCCAAGAAAAGCTTTATGGTTTGAGAAAGATTTTTTTTTTCCCCAGGAGAAAGAAAGACGAACTTTTCCCAAAACTTGCCAACTTTAAACTTTGACTTCTTACGCCTCCATTTTTGCCTCAGGGAGAAATTACTTTCTCCTGCCACTTGGACTTAGCATTTCAACTGTCCCCAGTTCAAAAGCTTCCATAGGAAACTTTTTTTCCCCATAAGCTCAAAGAACAGCTTTTTTTTACTACCCGTAAAGCCCAAAGATAGATTTTTTCCCCCCAGTTTGCATTCATAGCCCCCAAAGTTAGAAAACTGAAGAGTTTTTCTGTCTAGTTGCCTTACTTATTTTTTCCTACACGATCTTACACTTCTAAGGTTTTCCTACACTATATTACTACCCTATACCTTATACTTATTTTTCAGATAGAAATTGAGAGAGGGATAGAAGATAGAAAATTTTCACAGAAGAGAATTTCGCTGCAGCACCGGACATCCTTCCAGTTCGCTTTCCTTTTCTCTCAAGGATAAAACCCCTGCCTCTCAATAATATATATATATATAAAATATATATTTTCCATAATACTGGCATGCCTTTCCACTGGCAGGGCTGACTCACACTTTCACCAAAAACTCTAATAAAACTATTATTTTCCTTTATCTTTAGTCCCTATTACTTTGTCTTTAGTCCCTGTTCATTTGTGTTTAGTCCCCCCCTTTTTTCTTTAGTCCTTTTTTTTTCTTTTTTCTTTAGTCCCTGTTCATGGCGCCATTCTGTGGGGCGTTTGCCCACCACCCCCACAGTTCCCCAGAGTTTTCTTGAGTGCGAGCAGCAGGAAATATTAGATAGAAGGATTTATTGCGGAGATAAACAGATAGAAAATAAAGGATAGCCTCAAGAGGGCCTGGAACCTTTTCCAACGACCGACTGTCTCTGCTCCAGGGTATTTATAGAGACACCAAGGGGTGGAGCAAAAGACCTCCTCCCCCAGCACAGCCAAGTGCAGACCATCTCAGACACCTGCACTCAGGCCCGTGGTCCTAACCATCCTCTATGCGGACCTGCTGGGTAAACGAAAATGGGCTCCCACAAAAGACTAGGTCGGCTTTAATCTTGCACTCATCTCAGTTCTGGGATTGAAGAATTTATAGGCTTGGCCATTTCTTTTCTTCCTTTTAAATCACGTTTATGGGGGAAGGGGTGCATCTGTGTATATGGGGTCAAGAGGACAGCTTCCATGAGTCTGTTCTCTCCTTCCACCATGTGGATGGCAGGCTTGGTGGCAAGCATCTTTACCTAATAAACCTGTTGCTGGCCTATTATTTTGCATTTATCCTAAGAAGCAAAAATTCTGTTTCCATGCAACCCTCCCAGCATTATAAACACTACAAGTAATCTTACTGGAACTATCATTTGCAACCCAGCAAATATTAACTGTAGTGCCATGGCTAACAGTGTAGTAGGGCTTGGGTTTGCTCTTCCATACACAATGGAAAAATAAAACGCTCACTTCTGTATGCATGTATATACTTTCAGTTGATTGTGAGGCAGCTTTTTTTCTTTTTCTTTTAAAGACAGGACCTCATTCCTCACACAGGTAAACCTCATCCTTTTGCACTTTACTGACTAAACCACCTCCTCAGACCCTGGCAGTGACACTGGAACAATCAGGATTGGGAAGCGGCCATCTCTGGAGAGAACAGGCAAACAAAGGTTTTGGATAGGATTCTATTCTACTTGTTTCATTCTAGCTGTGATTAGAGAATATTCTTGACCCTCACTGTTAAGTCAGCAAGAAATTTCTTCTGGATTCTTGATAACAGCAGACAAAACAGTCTTGTACCATCATGGCCTTCCAACATTCCATAATCAAACTAGATCTATTTGAGCAGAAGTGTAAGATTCCTTAAGCCTTTAGTAATAACATACTACTTACTGTATGTCAGACAGTTTCAAAGTACTTTATTCAAATAATGACTTGGCATAGCCCTATGTGGTAGGTACCACTTAAAGGGTGTATGCCCCTAGGATCCTCTAAATCAGTGGTTCGCAGCCTGTGGGTCAAGGACCCCTTTGGGAGTTGAAGGGCCCTTTCACAGGGGTCGCCTAAGACCATCTGAAAACATATTTACATTATGATTTATAGCTATCAAAATTATAGTTATTTCAATAACAATGAAAATAATTTTATGGATGGGGGTTACCACAACAAAACTAACCGTATTAAAGGGTTGCATTAGGAAGATTGAGAACCACAACTCTAAATAGTATCTTAGAGTACTACACAAAAATAGTAACAGGTATGAGTCCAATATTTGAAGGCAGCTGCTGATTTTGAGTCTGCCTTGGCATGTGATTTGTCTTGACCAGTAAAGTGAATCTTGACTCTCTTTGAAGAGCTATTATAATACTCAAATAAAATGTGCTTTTTTTACTGGGTGGTGGCAGCATATGTCTTTAATCCCAGCATTTGGGAAGCAGAGACAGGCAGACCTCTGTGAGTTGGAGGCCAGGCTGGTCTACAGAGTGAATTCCAGGACAGGCACCAAAACTACACAGAGAAACCCTGTCTTGAAAAAACCAAAACCAAAAAACAAAACAAAACAAAAAAACAAAAGTGCTTTTTCAAAACCCCAAATTTTACCCAAAATAAATCTAACATAAGTGATATCTCACTGGGGAAAAGGTCAAGGGCCCGGGGATACAGGTGGTGAGACACTGGGGCTAAGCCAGCTTCTTGCTCTGCTGGAATTCTGGGGCTTGGTAAGCATGGAACTGGGATGCTCAGGTGTAGTGCTAGGGTGTTCTGAGGGCTGGGCTAAGCCTAATAGGGCCAAGCGTTGGGCAGGTGGGGTAGAAAAGTAGATCTTCTGTTCTTCTGAGTAACGTTCTTCAGGAGTCACAGCATCCCGGTAAGTCCAGTCACGCCAATGGAAATTGAAGCCTTCGAGCAGAGTGATGCGGCCAGCTCTTGTAGGCACACAGTCAGGGGCCTTTCTGGGTGGCAAATTTGGTACTTCAATCCCTGGCAGCAATATTACTCCTCGGATAGCAAACCAGCCCCCAAATCGGGGGTGTATGCACACACCTGCTATGTGCTGGGGAGAGGGCAAAGAAAAGTAGTTTTCAGGGTTTTACAGAGGTCATTTTGACACTAGGTCCAACTCCCATTATTGCAAGCTTTTTTTCTTCAATTTATTTTTATGTGTGTGAGTGTTTTTGCCTTCATGCCAGCAGCTCTATTTTTGTTCACATATTCCCCACTCAATGCACACAGATTTCATGCAGAAGCCTCTTTCCCTGTGTGCATGCGTGCATGTGTGTGTGTTTTCGAAATAGGGTTTCTCTTTGTAGCCCTGGCTGTCCTGGAACTCACTCTGCAGACCAGGCTGGCCTTGAACTCACAGAGAGCCTCCCTAAAGGTGTGTGCCACCACTGCCTGGCTCTTTCCCTCATTTTAAAGAAATCTATTGTGTATATGTGAATGTGTCTATTGGGGATCAGAAGGCAATTTCATAGATTTGGTTCTCTCTCACCTTTACATGGGTTCCAGAGATCAAACTCAGGTTAGTATGTGTGGCACACAGTGCCTTTACCTCCATCTCACTGTCCCTGTCCTCTTCTTGACCACCTATTCATAGAATTATGACCTCAGCAGCTTCCCAGTTTCAGTATTAGTCTCCTGATCACTACTTTGCCTTTGGATTTTCCTGAGATAACCATGTAACACAAGAACAAGAACACAAGAACAGGGCAGGCAAGCTGGGTAGTGGTGGCATACAACCCAGCACTCGGGAGGCAGAGGCAAGATGGGTCTCTGTAAGTTCGAGGCCAGCTTAGTCTACACAGTGAGTTTTAAGACAGCCAGAGATAGCCGGGCGGTGGTGGCGCACGCCTTTAATCCCAGCACTCGGGAGGCAGAGCCAGGTGGATCTCTATGAGTTCGAGGCCAGCCTGGTCTCCAAAGCGAGTTCCAGGAAAGGCGCAAAGCTACACAGAGAAACCCTGTCTCGAAAAACCAAAAAAAAAAAAAAAAAAAAGACAGCCAGAGATGTAGAGAGACCTTGTCTCAAAACAAAAAACAGACCAGGAAGTTGGTGAGATGACTTAGTGAGTGAAGGTATATGCAGCCAAGCCTAATAACCTTAGTCCATCCCCAAGGACCCACATGGTGGAAGGAGAGAACTGACTCCTGCAGTTATCCTCTAACCTCTATCAATGCGTGCACACACAGTAAATATTTTTAAAACACTAAAAGGGACCAGATTTTTTGAACTGTTACGTCCTCAGGTAAACTAGAAAGCAGGTAAAGGAGCCAGAAAACAGGTGAACTATTTGTCAGGACCATAGTTGTTCTGGGTTATGTATCAACTTCATCAAAGGAAGGTGAAGGACCGTGGGACCTCATAAATACTTGGAGGGACCTTTACTATTTTTCTCTCTCAGTCCCTACTCATTCATTCACATGTATTCTCTAACCTGGGTCCCCCATGGGTCAGCATCCACATCTTGTCGTTGGTAGTAGTAAGCAGCACCTGCCACATGGGCTGCGGTCTGGGCTAGAATCTTAGGGCGCCGGTTGGGGTGGACTTCATAGTCAGCAATGACTTCCATTTGCAGTTCTGGAAACTTCTGGAACAAAATAAGGGGCTCCTGTTAGCATGATGGGAGTCATGACTATTCTGCAAAGGCCTTAGTTGTGTATTAACATGGTCCTGTTCTCATAAGCTCATGGCTTGGTTTTTTGAGACAGGGTCAGAATGGCCTTGAACTTGCTATATATAGCCAAAGGTAATCCTCCTGCCTCTACCTCCCTACTGCTGGGATTCTCCATTAAAGGCCCTGTTTGAAGGGAAAACACAACTTTAACCTAAGACGCTACTAAGGGAAGGAAGTTGAAGTTCCTCTGCCCTCTCAGAAGGGCATGCGCTCGAAGGTAAATACAAAAGACTTCGCTCAGAAGCCTCCATTATCAGGAGTTATTGAGCCTTGAGTACAAATATGTACAAATTTATGTGCATTTAAATGAGTACAGGCTGGGAAATACTGTTCTGCCTTCAAAAGGCTCCAAAGAGCATAGAGCTTGTAAGCACAGGGCAAAGAACAGTGAACAATGCCTAAAAGATGTATTTACTTGTATTCCAGTACGTATTCAGATTAGCCTGAGGTTCATACAGTTGTCCATCAGTGTAGTCACTCTATGAAACTGACTTCAGGTGGGGGGTCTCTGCTAAAGGAAAGGGTAAAACCTGGGTGTGAGAAAGCAGAGTAGGGGGGCTGAGGATTTAGTTCAGTGGTAGAGCGCTTGCCTAGCAAGCGCAAGGCCCTGGGTTTGGTCCTCAGCTCCGGGGGAAAAAAAAAAAGAGAAAGCAGAATAGGAAGAAATTACAGATGGCATAGCTCCTAGCCCCATATCTAGATCCTGCACTGCGCTTGATCAACAGGGAAGCAGATGTAGGCGTGAGAGTTGAAGGGAAGTTGAGCCTTACCTCCCTAACACGCCTCAGGTGGTGGGACACACACTGATCCACTGGGTCTCTTGGTGGTTGGAGGTGGTAGCTCTTCAAGAAGGGTTTGAGGGCTTTGTCAAACATAGCAGGTGTGCTTAGTACCAGGAAGGCCAGGGTAGGTCCTGGGAAGGGCAAGTGGAAGGCTGGAGACAGGAGTTCATTGTACCATGCCACCTGGAACACAGAAAGCTCAGATCTGGTTGGCAAGCAGCTTGGGCCTTAATCAGGCCCATACCTTGGCTTTGCATTCAAGGCTTCGTACATTCTGCACTCATCTCCATTTCATTCATTCAAAGAATTTTCACTGATGCTATGTAATGTATGTATATTAACCTTGTATGGGCAATCTGTCTGCAATTGACAAGGAGTTAGGTTAGGAAAGAGTTTATAAACAAACTAGAATAGAAAGTGAAAGTGACAATTGGCCAGGTGGTGGTGGTGCACACCTTTAATCCCAGCTCTTGGGAGGCAGAGGCAGGCGGATCTCTGTGAGTTCGAGCCAGCCTGGTCTACAAATCGAGTTCCAGGACAGCTGGGTATGTTACACAGAGAAACCCTGTCTCAAAAAAAAAAAAAAAAAAAAAAAAAAAAAAAAAAAAAAAAAAATTAAAATTTTTTAAAAAAAGAAAGTGATAATTATGACCAGTTCTATGGCAGGACAAGATAAGCATCCTCTGACATTAGAAAAAAACTGAAATCCAGCCGGGCGGTGGTGGCGCACGCCTTTAATCCCAGCACTCGGGAGGCAGAGCCAGGCGGATCTCTGTGAGTTCGAGGCCAGCCTGGGCTACCAAGTGAGTTCCAGGAAAAGGCGCAAAGCTACACAGAGAAACCCTGTCTCGAAAAACCAAAAAAAAAAAAAAAAAACAAAAAACAAAAAAACCCTGAAATCCAGTCTTGGGGGCTGGTAAGGAAACTGAAGGTTGATGTGGGGGATAGAGAATCTGCTGTTTATTTATTTATTTGAGACAGGGTCTCACTATGTAGCCTTGCCAGTAGAAATGCACTCAGCCCACTGGGCTGTGGTGGCATACACCTTTAATCCCACCACTGGGGACCGGGTGCGGTGGTGCAGATGCAGGTGGATCTCTGAGTTTCAGGCCAGCCTGGTCTACAGAGTGAGTTCTAGGACAGCCAAGGGCTACACAGAGAGACCCTGTCTCAAAAAAAACAAAAAGAAAGAAAAAGAAAAAAAAATGTACTAAGTGCATTTGAGAAGAGCAGACTATCTAGTGTGGTGGAAGTGAAAAGGAGAAAAGGCTTGAGAGATTAGTAGGAGTGAGGTTGTGCCTGACCTTAAATACCAACTTAAAAACTATGACTCCCAATTTGATGACAGTGAGGAGTCATTTAACTTAAAATAGTAAAGTGCTGGGCGGTGGTGGCGCACTCCTTTAATCCCAGCACTTGGGAGCCAGAGGCAGACGGATCTCTGAGTTTGAGGCCAGCCTGGTCTAGAGCCAGAACAGGCTCCAAAGCTACACAGAAACCCTGTGTTGAAAACAAACAAAAAAAGAGTAAAATGACCTGATAGTTTAGAAAGATTTGGTTGCAGTGTAGAGAATGGATTGGATCCAAGATGGCAGCCAGATTATAGTAATCCTAACGAGAGAAGTGTTTTGGGATACAGGATAGGTTGTTGGGTTAAAAAACCACGAGCTTCGAAGATTCAGGGGATATTCATGGTGGCTGTTCGATGTAGGACTGAGAAGGTGAGTAGCAGGGCCTTATGATGACAGGCAGAGCTACAGCTAACTCCGTTCAGTACACTAGTTCCCATTTCTCTCTCTCTCTCTCTCTCTCTCTCTCTCTCTCTCTCTCTCTCACACACACACACACACACACACACACACACACACACACACACACACTTTTCAGACAGGGTCTCACTATACAGTCCTGGCTGGCTTGGAGCTCCATATGTAGAACAGGAAGGTATCAAAGCCTCTGCCTCCAGAGTGCTGGGGTCAAAGTCTTCTGCCACCATACCTGGACCTCAAATAGGCATTCCTGTTTTTTCCCTATCTGCCATCCATCATTGCCTCCTTTCAATAACCCTCCCTCCTTTCAATCCAACTTTTATTTTAAATAATTTAAATAATTCATTTTTTATTTGCATTAGTGCTTTGCCTGCATGTTTATCTTTGTGAAGGTGTCAGAACTTGGAGTTACAGACAGTTGTTAGCTGCCATTTGGGAGCTAGGAATTGAATCCTGGTCCTCTGGAAGAGCAGTCAGTGCTCTTAACAGCTGAGCCATCTCTCCAGCGCCTAAATCCATCTTTTCATGCTTGTTTTTGAACTGGGGCTTGAGATTAAACCCAGAGCCTTGCAAAGGCTAAGCCAGCACTCTATCACTGAGTTACAGCTTCAGCTCAGTTTCATTCTTTTTCCTCAATTTGGGAATTGAACCTAAGACCTCAAGGATGGTGGTCTGTCACTGAGCTACATCCTCCAGAGGTTCAATTTCAAGTTTTTTCCTCCTGCAAATGCGTTCAAGCTAGATTGACTCCTCTATAGTATCTTATTCTAAGTCTTGCTGTGGACAGCTCAATGGAATGAGTGAGTCTCTTAGGATAGATAGGTCAAAGGACTCAGGATGATTTTAATTTAGATTTGTTCTAAAAAAGCGTATCTTGTTCACTCAGTACTGTGGGATAGGGCGGGGCCGGGTGGGGTGTAGAGGGACGGAGGTTACAGAGAGTTCTGTACCAGGCGAGCGTGAGGAATTTCTATGCTCAGTCCTGTATTGATGGCTAGCAACATAATGAATTAGCCTTCTGTTGGCTGACGGAACAAACTAGCCAATTGTGTCTTGTTCAACATCAGGAATACTCTTCTCTCTTCAACTGACCTAATACAAAGCCATGCCAACATTCCAAACTTTGACCTCTCCTAATTCCTTTGGAAGCTTCTGGTGATTCCGGCCCCACAGGGGGACATTTTTTTTTTTTTTTTCTGTAAATTACGGAGATGAGAGGTCAGGTATCGTGGGTTGAATCCAATTCATTTGTTTGACATCATAAATAGGTAATAGGGAAAACGTGTCTGTTTCTCTACCTTTTTCAAGCCCCTTTTCACATCACGACCCGGAGACTGGGTTATTAGATGGCCGCGGTAGGAGCTTGGGTTGGATAAGAAGGGCTCACCGGGCCTCACACTTTTGGCGCCAAGGCCAATCATACAGCTGGCCCTAGAACCACAGGGAAGACAAACCAACCTGGAAAGGGTAAACCTCGAAGCCAAAAGGACACAAAGTGTCCTCAATCTTCTGCTTCAGGTCTGCGACACGAGGCTCCATAGCGCACGTTGAACGCTGAGCTTGCTGGGAAATGGAGTCTTATAGATAACTTGGGCTTTTAGGCGTTAAGACGAGCCGGACTACATTTCCCAGGAGGTAAAGGACAAGTTAACAGCTTCAATTGACTCTGCGCGATGCATCTTGGTACAAGTAGTTCGTTTGGTCCTTGGGGCCCAAACATAACAGAGTCTGTACGACTCCGTGTCCCGACAAGCTTCACGGGGAGGTGTATGTATGAACGTACGGGGGCGCTTCCAGGGAGACGTATTTCCGCCCTCTATTGCCTGTTGTCTCCGCCAGAAGCGGACTCAGTTTCCCGAGTGGCGCTGCGGCACCCGCTCTTAAATCTCACTCTCCGCCTACTAGAGTTTGAACTCGCGGGCGGTAGTAGTGGCTGATACAGACTTGAAGTGGAGATTGTGCTAGCGTCCTTGATTTGGGGAGGTTTCAACCAAGATTCGGCTCCTTCTACCCTCACTTGATATCTGTGTTGTACTCTATTTTTTTCCACTTCCCCAAGAACTCCGTTCCCTAGTTCCAGATTCGCAGTTTTGCTGTGGCACTGTTATCTGTAGCCTTAATATCCCACTCCTACTTTCCTCTCTCCATCTAACACTGTGCACTGTCCTGGGCTTTTACCGCTGGTATCTTGGTGTGGGAGAGCAAGAGCAGGAAAAGTCAGAGACGCAGTCCTCAGTCCTTCAGGATGAATAGGAGCCCTAGCTGGTCTGATCAACTGCATGCAGTTCTCAATTCAACTGATGAAAATATGGCCCGGATTAAGGTGAGGAGACACAGGAACCTCCCTTCCCGACCTCCCGGAATTCTCCTTTCCCCATTGGGAGACTAGGCTAGGGCGTAGATTAAAGGACACTGAGAGCTCACTGGCTTATGGAACTGTTTTCTTTTGTAGCAGAATTTGTATCCTCTTCGAGTTTCCTCTACAGGTAAGTATTGTTCTTTCTCCTAGCCTTTTCTTTTTTTCAAGGCCATTCTTCCAGTGCCTGCCTGTATCATCTGTAATTCTGTACAAATTCCAGCTACTTCCCTTCTGAAACTTTGATTTCCTACACAGACAGACCCTGCTCTTGTCCCTTCCTTATTCCTTCAATAGGGGACCTGGCTGACACCTGGATTTCCCCTCATCATTTGCCTCCACAGCCAGGGGCCCAAGCTCATCAGCCTTGGGCTCTAAAGACTCCTGTTCTTGGAGAGAGACTGAGCTGCGCTGAATCTCACAGCTCATCTCTCTGGAATGAAGTTACTAAGCTCCGATCCCAGCTTCAGTCTCAGGCTCAGGTGAGGAATTAGGTGTTTGTATGTGGTGGCAATGTGAGAGAATAATATTAGGAGCTAGGAAACCCTGTCTCGAAAAAACCAAAAAAAAAAAAAAAAAAAAGTAGTTTCTGGGTTTTCTCTCCTTGGATAGGTGACTGCGGCGCTAAGGGGTGCTGTGCAGAGCCTGTTGAAGGATCGGGAGCAGCAGATGAAGAAGATCAGTGCTCTAGAAGGTACTGGGCCAATTCTTTGCTTCATGTGCAGCATACAGAGTTTTAAAATTAAAACTGGAGTTTTGTGCATACTGAGCTATGCTCTACCGCTGAACTATATACAACTTTTGGTTGTGAGGCTGAGCCATCTCTTCAGCCCCACACGACTTTGTGTATGTGCCCACAGTTTTGCTCTGTAGCTTTTGTATGTGTACTTGTTTTGATTTGCATGTAGTGCCTGGGCTCAAATGTGAAGCTCTTAGAGCAGTTTGCCTTCCCTTGTCCCACTACAGCATCACTAAAATTGCTTCAGGAGGGCCCAAAAGGGAGAGCCCTTCTGGAGCAACGCCTGGAAGGGTTGAGAAAGGAACTGCAGGGCCTTCGGAACCAGGTTCAAGAGCTAGTCCAAACCCAAACGAGAACAAGACCAGGGAAGTTCAGTAGTACCAATGGCTTTCACCAAGAGCTGCAGACTGAGTAAGTGATGGGCAAGACTTTGTCTTTTTGTTTATTTATCTATTGAAGATTTATTTTCTGGTGTCACACACCTTTCATCCTAGTGCTCAGGAGGCAGAGGCTGGTAGATCTCTGAGTTTGAGACCAGCCTGCTCCACATATTGAGCTGTAGGCCAACTAGGGCCACTTAGCGAGACTTTGTCTCCAGCCACTTTGGGTTTGTTATTTGATTTTAGAATGACACTGCTGTCACTCTTGTAGGCACCAACTTTTGTGGGAAGAGTCAGAGATTCTTCGGGAGGAACTGAAGTTGCTTCGAGACCAGCTGAGTAAGTAAAAGATTGAGAGTATTCCTTTGTCCATATTTCTGGAATATTTTCTTGTTCTTCTAGTAACTGACCATACCTCTGCTTGTTTGAGCTATTGGAAAGTCTGGCAAATTATTTTTTTTTTTCAATTTTTATTTTTTTATTTTTTGAGACAGGGTCTCTACATAGCCCTGCCTGTCCTGGAACTCACTATGTGGACCAGGCTGGTCTTGAACTCACAGAAACTTACTGCCTCTGCCTACCAAGTGCTGGGATTAAAGACATATGGCACCAACCCCTGGCCAGGCAAATTATTTGTGTATTGTGTGATGCCTTGTACTTCGCTATGCATGTGCTTCACCACCAAGCTACACCCCTAGCCTTTGGCAAAATATATTCTTTTTTAAAGATTTATTTATTTATTTTTATTATGTATGTAGTATTCTGCCTGCATGTATGCCTGCAGGCCAGAAGAGGGTGCCAGATCTCATTATAGATGGTTGGAAGCCACCATGTGGTTGCTGGGAATTGAACTCAGGACCTCTGGAAGAGCAATCAATGTTCTTAACCTCTGAACCATCTCTCCAGCCCTGACAAAATATTTTATATTGCTCTTTTTCTCTCATGGTATGAAATTTAGTCTCCCCCATAAGCTTTGAATCTTTCCAGCTGTTGGATCAGAACATGTTTGTCTAAGTGTCTACTGCCAGCCAGGTGGTGGTGGCGCGTGCCTTTAATCCCAGCACTCGGGAGGCAGAGCCAGGTGGATTTCTGTGAGTTCGAGGTCAGCCTGGTCTACAGAGTGAGACCCAGGACAGACACCAAAGCTGTCTTGAAAAACCAAAAAAAAAAAAAAAAAAAAGTTTCTACTGCCAGTCCAATTACAAGACAGTGAAGAAGGAATGAAGTTGGAGAATGGTGTCCCCTCATATCCTGTCTCATTTTCAGGCCAACATCAGGAGTTGTTGCTGGAACAGATAGCTGAAGGGCGCCAGGTTCAAGCCCGCAGCTGGAAGGTAGGACAGGGTTAGACTAGTTTCCACATATTTCTTCATGCAGTCCCCATCCTTCCTGTCTGTCCTGCTCTACAGAAAGGCCTAGATATCTTCTTCCACTCCCATCTCTATGCCCATCATTCTTCCCCATGCTGATTCTATATCCCTCCAAAGCAGTTCTTCCCAGTCAGTTTGCTGTATACCTGAGTCACTGTCTTTGCCTGCATGAAGGCTTTCAGGTGTTGATGAGGTGGGGAGTTGTGGGAGGGAGTTTCCCTTGGAATGGGAGAGATTCTCCTTCTGCACCATGGTCTGGCAGACGTTGGAACACCTACAGAGTGACCAGAAGGGCAAGTTTCAGACCTTGGAGGTTACCAGGACAGAGGCCCCTGATGCCCAGAAGGAGGAGCCCTACTTCCTCAGGTCAGAAGTTGTGTGTGCTGGGGCAGTAGAGGGGGTTTGTGTCATCGAGGTCAAGCAAAGTTCAGCTATCCTAAATTTGGCCAGGATTGGTTGGGGTAGTCGGTCTGAGTATCTGGAGTTTTATTGATAAGAACAACATTGGGCATTCTAACCTAGGCTGTCCTTGAACTCCTGATCTTCCTGCTTCTACCTCCCAAGTGCAGGTGTTACAGGTATATGTTACCAGATTCAGTCTTTATTGTTTGTTTGTTTATTTATTTATTTTATTGAGATGATTACCCCTGGGTAGCTCAGATTGGCCTCAAACTCACCAACCCGCTCTCTTTGCTTCCTGAGTACAGAATAACAGGTGTGTACTGTTATGCTCACCTGCATTACTAAAAAAATTTTTTTTTGCATTTTATTTTTTTTTTATTTTTTATTTTTTTTTTTTTGGTTTTTCGAGACAGGGTTTCTCTGTGTAGCTTTGCGCCTTTCCTGGAACTCACTTGGTAGCCCAGGCTGGCCTCGAACTCACAGAGATCCGCCTGGCTCTGCCTCCCGAGTGCTGGGATTAAAGGCGTGCGCCACCACCGCCCGGCGCATTTTATTTATTTATTTAGTCTGCATATGTATGGGCATGTATGTACCATGAAGTACATGTGGAGGTCAGAGGACCAATAGGAGTCACTTCTACCATATGGGTTCTCAGGATCAACCTTAGCCTTGATGGCAGGCATGTTTATCAGCTGAGCCATCCTGCTGGCCCCAGTCTTAAGCATTTGTCATTTGATTCAGAGTTGGGATATATCTTTATATGTCTGAATGATAATTGGGGGAGTGAGGTGGGAGTCCAGAATCCTGACCTCAGAAAGGAAGACAGTTTCATGCTGGAAGAGGGTCCTAGATCCATCACCGTCTCTGCCTCTGATTGTTCTTTTTAGGACGTCTGTTGATGCCTGGCAATCTAAGCTGCCTATGGCCAACATCTTCGCCATGTCTCTTTCTTCATCTAGCTCTGAAGTCAGTCTTCCAGACTGTGACCATAGCTGGGAACTTTTAAAGAAACTAGACAGGGGTAAGGACAAGTCTGGGAATGGTGCCTGAATGCAGCTGTCCAATCATTTGTCCTTTTCTGTGTGAGTCCATCTACCCATGTTATATATGAGAGAGAGTTAAGCTACTTTATTTAATATTTATTTAGTGAAAGGCAAAATATTTATATGATTTGAAGAGAAGCCAAAGTAATTATTATTTAATATTTATTTAAAGGCCAGGATTTTCTTTGTAGCTCAGGCTTGCCATGGAGCCCAGCCTGCTCCTGAACTCAAAATCTTCCTGCCTCAAGTTCTTGAGCGCTAGGATTACAGACATGTGCCACTACATTCTTCATTAACTCACTTCATTGCAGCTGGGGGACAGAAACATGTAGATAGTTAGCAACCACCATAGAATGGGTATATACAAACCAGGCCTGTGTGTCCTTTCCAGGAAGGTCCAGGGCCTAGTTTTATGCATATCACGGTCTGGCTAATGGTTTGTTTTTCATTTTCCTTCCTCTTAGAACTCCCTAACTCCTTTTCTAACCTGGAACCCAGCAGCTGTCAGTCCCATGCCCAGAGTCTTGGGCAAGAGGATCTGTTCTTTCAAGGCTCCAAGATCTTCCAGAGTGAGCTGTAAGGACTTGTAAGAAGAATGAGATGAATCCATCAAGGCAGTCTTCTCATCCCCTCTGGTATGTGCCCTCTTTACTGAGGCATCTCACTGTCCAGCCATTACTGCTTCCCAGCTAATTTCAAATAAAGTGGCATAACTCTCCCTGATGTGTTTTTCTTCACCCCTATGGGATCAACTTAGCCTATGTTTCCTTCTTGTTACCTAACTGCTTCCTGGGACCTCTGCCTCTGAAATCTGACCTTTATAGCTACACTGTTGACTACAAGCTCAGGCGAACTTGGAAAGAAATGATTTCTCTTCTTCTGATGAGTAGAATGGGTTAGGATGTTGGCCTGAGGCTGTGTTGATGAGATTGTAGAGGAGAGTGATACTCTGGTGGGCACTAGATCTAGAGAATCACACTGTCAGTCTGCTTATTGAGGCTTACTCCAGACTCCCCATACTTCCTCATCCTTAGCAGCCCAGATCTAGAGAGTCACACTGTCACTCTGCTTATTGAGGCTCACTCCAGACTCCCCATACTTCCTCATCCTTAGCAGCCCAGATCTAGAGGGTCACACTGTCACTCTGCTTGTTGAGGCTCACTCCAGACTCCCCATACTTCCTCATCCTTAGCAGCCCAGATCTAGAGAGTCACAGTGTCACTCTGCTTATTGAGGCTCACTCCAGACTCCCCATACTTCCTCATCCTTAGCAGCCCAGATCTAGAGGGTCACACTGTCACTCTGCTTATTGAGGCTCACTCCAGACTCCCCATACTTCCTCATCCTTAGCAGCCCGGCCTGTGTGTTTGCATTGGTTTCTCAGTTTCTCTGAAATTGAGTCATCTTTAAAAGCAAGCACAAAGCAAACAAACAAAATCACCAAAGCCTTTATTTCTTTTGAGATAGGGTCTCTGTAGGTAGCCCTGGCTATCCTGAAACTTGCTATGTAGACCAGGCTGGCCTTGAATTCATAGAGATCCTCCTGCTTCAGCCTCCCTAGTCCTGGGATTAAAGGTGTACACTGCCATACCTAGCCAAAGTGTAGTTTTTGCTATAACTCTTATGAGGAAATAAAGAATTCTGTGATTCAAATTCTACTTTCATTTTCAAAAATTACTTTCTTAGTTTATGTGTATGGGAATTCTGTCTGCATGTGCCACCTGTGTATAGTGTCCTGAGGGGCCAGAAGAGGGTATCAGATCCTTTTGAACAGGAGTTACACATGGTTTTGAGTTGCCATATGGATGTTGGGCATCAAACTCAGGTCCTCTGAAAGAGCAGCAAGTGCTCTTAACTACTGGGCCATTTTTCCAACCTGTAGTGATATTCTGTTTGTACTGTAACCAATAAAGCTTGTCTGATTATCAGAGGGCAGAGCCAGCCACAGAGTTAGCCATAGAGGTCAGGCAGTGGTGGCCCACACCTTTAATCCCAGCACTTGGGATCTCATGCCTTTGCTCCCAGTGTTTGGGAAGCACACACACCATTGATCCCAGCACTAGGAAGGCTGAGACAGGAAGTGATATGGCTGGGTGGAGAAAGGCACATAAGGCAGGAGGAAACTGGAACTCAGCCCTGTCGGCTGAGGACTCGGGCATTCAGTCTGAGGACTCATGGAGACAGGGTCTTCCCCTTTCTGCTGAGGAGTTGGCCAGGTGAGAAGTGTCTGTGACTTGTTTCCTCTGATCTTTCAGCATTTACCCTGATATCTGGCTCCGGGTTTTTATTAATAAGACCAATTAGAATTCCTGTTATATCTGGCACCCAACTTTTGGGGCATGAATTCTCGGAAAAGCCTGACTGTGGCTTTTCAGCTACCAGCTCAGGCCGGAGCTGCACTCGGTCAGAGTCACTACCCTGCCAGCCGAGTTTCTCTTGCAGCTTATCTGCAGCAAACTCCATAGGCTTTTGGGCTCCAAAAGCCACAGGAGTTAGCTGATTTTGCATATTCCCCAGTGCAGATGGCTGGCTCTTTGGCATCTTCCCTCTCGTGGTGGGTTGTGGCTTTCCCTGGACCACCCCCTCGGGGCTGCTGCCACACTAGGTAGCTGTCTCACTTCACCTTCATCTGAATCATCATTGTCAGCAGATTTGGTGACTCAATTGGGATTTCTTAAACGGGGGTGGGGTGGGGGGTGGGGGGGGATTAGTTTTAAAGAAAAAAAAAAAAGGAAAGAGTTTTTTCCCTACATTAAAAAATGAGAAACATTTTTACAATGGAGTTCTCTGTTTGATAATTTGCTAGATGGTTTGAAAATGGAACAATTAAATGAGAGGATAATTAATGTAGATAGGATTTACATATGTCAATTATAAATATTTGATCATTTCTGTTTTATCACTAAAAAAGTTGGTTAATATGAGTGCCAAGATAAAAGCTTTAGAAAAACTTGTTAAAATAGATTGTAGAGATGTCCAGACCCAGAGGAATTCAAAGGAGAACCAATCTCAGCATTGTATTATAAGGTTACAGGGAAACAGTCTAAGGCTTTCAAACAGCCAACCATAATTTATTCACTAACCTTATAGGAACTGCCAAAAGATACATATCCCCCAGACTGTGTAACAGCTGAATAGACTCCAGTGCAAATGTTAGATTTGAGGAGATTCAAGGGAGCGATAGTCTCATATGGCCTGCACTCACCTTTTGTGAAGCAAATGTTAAACTTGTGGTCCACTGGTAATAGAATTATCTCTCAAGACTGGAGAAATTTGATTACAGCAGTCTTAGAGGCTAGTCCTCAGTTACAATGGAGGACCTGGTGGAAGGATGAGGCTAAGACCATTGAACAATGAAGTAGGGCTAGAGGTATTAAAATCTCCCAATACCGACTTCTTGCGGAGGGGGGTTATGCTAATATAGAAAGGAAATCTTTATATGATGACCACACCCTGGCTTTATACCACACAGCAGCCTTGAATTCTTGGGACAGAACCGAAGAAGTAGGAAAGAAAATTGAGTCATTTACAAAAGTTATATAGGGCCCCAAAGAAATCTTCACTGCTTTCTTACAAAGATTGATTTCAGCAGTAAATAGAATGATACCAAATTCAGAAGCTAGACAAATAATAATTGAATCTCTTGTGGGGGACCAGTCCCCACACTTATTTACCCCAAGAACTCTTAAGGATTGAGGGATAAGAGACTTAGTTAGAAATAGTGAGGAGAGGGGTTGGGGATTTAGCTCAGTGGTAGTGTGCTTACCTAGCAAGTGTAAGGCCCTGGGTTTGGTCCTCAGCTCTGAAAAAAAAAAAAAAAAGAAAAAAGAAATAGTGAGGAGAGAGAACAGAGAAAACACAGGATAGACTTGGGTGGGCCTGGATCCTTATCCACTGGCCCAGAACTTTATTCCAAAAGTCTGTTTCTAACAATGCCAAGGGGTGGAGCAAAAGACCTCCCCATTGATAGTTACATCCTTACAAACACCTGGTACCCAGGTTCATTGTCCAATCAACCTCTTATGCAGTCCTGCTGGGTATAGCCACTAGGAAACCTAGTGGGCTCCAACAATCTCTGGCTTTTGAAAATGCTAATGCACAATACAGAAGGGTAATTAGGCCATTAAAGGCAAGATCAGCACCCTTGAAGGAATGGATCTGAGATACAGAGCCAATCAGTATTGAATCTCATAACTATGATGATACTTGGATAGGAGAGGTGATTTCCAGAGGTTTGAAGAAAAATTGAAATGTCAACTGTTTTAATTGGGGTAAACAAGGTCACCTAAAAAAGGGATTGTAAACTAGGCATTCCTAGAAATAATATTTTTTCTAAGAATAATCCCAGCTGGGCAGCAGTGGCGCATGAGCCAGGCTGTGGTGGCGCACACCTTTAATCCCAGCACTCAGGAGGCAGAGCCAGCTGGATCTCTGTGAGTTGGAGGACAGCATGGTCTACAGAGCAAGATCCAGGACAGGCACCAAAACTACACAGAAACCTTGTCTCAAAAAAAACAAAACAAAAAAGAATAATCCCAACAAAATGCTCCTCCCTTCTGGATTATGCAGAAGGTGTAGCAAAGGCAGGCATTGGACTAATGAATGCAGATCAACAAGGAACAGACAAGGTAATCCTTTGCCTTTGCCATCAGGAAACTTCTTGAGGGGCCTCTTGCAGGCCCCCATTTCAAATTCTGTTTAGTTGTTTCCTGTTATTGTGGAGGAAATTCCTTCCCAGAGCAATTAAAGAACCTAATGCCTAGTGTAAGAAAACATACAGCTCTGGATGATAGAATAGCTATAGAAGAGAGATCAAAACATTCAGGAGAAACCATTAATCAAAATTGATAAAGATTATATTTGGAATCTCCCCAAAGTTAGGGTTGGGGCAGGGTTTTGTTTTTGTCATTCCAGGAAAAGAAAAACAATTATCTTGAGGAATTTAAAGACCTTTGGACAAATAAGCATCCAAAGAAGAAGGGAGAACTATCCCCAAAAACTTACCAAGAAAAGGAATAATCTGATCTAATACAATCTTTTTTTTTTTTTTTTTTTTTTGGTTTTTTCGAGACAGGGTTTCTCTGTGTAGCTTTGCGCCTTTCCTGGAACTCGCTTGGTAGTCCAGGCTGGCCTCGAACTCACAGAGATCCGCCTGACTCTGCCTCCCGAGTGCTGGGATTAAAGGCGTGCGCCACCACCGCCCGGCCTAATACAATCTTTTTAAGTCTCCAGAAAGATGATAGGACCCCACAATGATGATTCCACATGGACTTATGATAACACCACTAAGCTGATAAACAGCACCCAAAGATCGGCTTTAGACTACAAATTGCTCAGGACAATTTTGAGGTAGCTAGCTGAGATGATGCAGCCTCACAGACTACTCTAGCCAGGACTTGAGACAAGCCCTGCACTTTCCCATCATGCAGAGACTGGACAACAAGTGATACAGGTACCTCTTCCAGGACTTGACAATTAACCCAGTTTTTTTCTTTTCAGGATCCCCTAAAGATGCCTTCACCCTCAGACAACAGGACGTAAATTTAAGAACAAAATGCCCACATTCCCAAGAGGTGTGGTGGGTGGTTTTTGGTCGTTCAATGGATTATGGATATTTGTCATTGTTTATGGTGGTTGATTACAAGTTGTTATTGGTAATGGTCAGGAAAAAAGCTAAACAAAGAAGATTAGATTCAGGGTTCTTGTTTTGAAAAGAAAAAAAAAGGGGATATAGATATGATAAGATAAAAGGTAGATTATTGAATCTACTCTGAAAAAAATAGATATAGAAATGATAGGATAGATAAAAGGGTAGATTGTTGAATCTACCCTGAAGAGAAAAAATAGGAATATAGATGTAAGATAAAAAGTTAGATTATTGAATCTTCTTTAAAAATGCATCTACTAGTTTTAAATATTTTATATTGGATTGGATTGTTGTATAGTATATACAGATTTTATATATTGATACAAATTTGAGATTAATTTTGTTAGAACATACTGTACATACACTTCTAATCTTGTTCAAGGTATTATACCTCATTTAACAATGTAATACAAATTACTAGTTCTTGAAAGTTATTATTACCAACTAATTAGGATATAAAGAAGTGCAAGTTAGTAGTTAGTCATTACAATTAAACTTGTAATCATATTAGGTATGTTTTCAATGTCAAACAGTTATTTTAGATAGACAGGTTGTCTTCAAACACTTCAGAGATCTACAGAATATGGCATTTAAAATGTTTTAATAACATAGATTTTTTTTTTTTTTTTTGAGACAGGGTTTCTCTGTGTTGTTTTGGTGCTTGTCCTGGAGCTTGCTCTGTAGACCAGGCTGGCCTCGAACTCACAGAGATCCTCATGGCTCTGCCTCCTGAGTGCTGGGATTAAAGGCATGTGCCATCACCGCCCGGCAGATTCTTTTTTTTATGACAATGAGGCATGTCTGCTCCTGGCAGCACCAATCTACTTCAAAGAAGTTGATGGACATCAAAGAAACTCCATATGGAGTTTACTTTCTTTGTGGCAAAAGTTAACCACTGGAGAAGAAAATGCCCTTGTCTTGACTGCTAATAGTATGCTGTCCAAAATGGTCAAGGACACAAAATAAAAGACTGCTGAACTTTGCCAAGACAAGGTAGGACAGCCTTTCAGAAAATCCTGCTTCATAGATAAATCTGTCAGATATGCTAGGCCTGTAAGTAGACAATGGATGCCCCAATGCTGCAGAGGAACCAGCTGTTTCTGTTATTTCTCACACTTTTTGGAAGTTGCTTGCTTGCACTACCTGCTTACTCAGGTAATATTTCCTTCTTGGGTCTCTGATGGAGTTGAAGACTAGATAGTTATAATTTTTCCTTTTTAACAAATTCAGAAAAGAAACTCACTAAAAAGATGTAAAGTGTGTAAGTTCAAGAGACATCAAAAGATAGTTTTCAGTTGTTAATACAAGTTAGATAGAAAGTGAATTAGGTACAATCTTTTGGACTCACCAAGATAGGATAAATAATAGAATATTTTCTCTGAATTTGTCAAATGTTAGTGGACTGCATATTTTTAATGTAATTCTTGACTGTATATATTATGTATAGTTATTATATTTATTGTATATAGTTTTTCTTTAATATTAGACAAAAAAGGGGAAATGTGGTGATATTTTGTTTGTACTGTAACCAATAAAGCTTGTCTGATTATCAGAGGGCAGAGCCAGCCACAGAGTTAGCCATAGAGGTCAGGCAGTGGTGGCACACACCTTTAATCCCAGCACTTGGGATCTCATGCCTTTGCTCCCAGTGTCTGGGAAGCACACACACCTTTAATCCCAGCACTAGGAAGGCTGAGACAGGAAGTGACATGGCTGGGTGGAGAAAGGCATGTAAGGCAGGAGGAAACTGGAACTCAGCCCTGTCGGCTGAGGACTCGGGCATTCAGTCTGAGGATTCATGGAGACAGGGTCTTCCCCTTTCTGCTGAGGAGTTGGCCAGGTGAGAAGTGGCTGTGGCTTGTTTCCTCTGATCTTTCAGCATTTACCCCGATATCTGGCTCTGGGTTTTTATTAATAAGACCAATTAGAATTCCTGCAACACCAATCCCCTTTTTAATTTTTTTTTGAAACACACATTATATTTGAGTCTTAGTTACTTTTCTTAACTGTCTTAGTTACTTTTCTTTTTTATTATATATACAGTGTTTTCTCTGCATGTATGCCTGAAGGCCAGAAGAGGGCACCAGATCTCATTACAGATGGTTGTGAGCCACCATATAGTTGCTGGGAATTGAACTCAGGACCTCTGGAAAAACAGCCAGTACTCTTAACCTCTGAGCCATCTCTCCAGCCCTTAGTTACTTTTCTATTCCTCTGATAAAATGCCGTGACCAAGGCAGCTTGTAGAAGGAAGGGTTTAAACTGGGTGGTGGTGGCACATGCCCTTAACCCCACTAGAGGCAGAGGCAGGCAGATCTCTGTGAGTTTGAGACCAGCCTGGTCTACAAAGCAAGTTCCAGGACAGCCAGAGCTGTTACACAGAGAAACCTTGTCTTGAAAACCAAAAAGGGAAGAAAAGAATGAAGGGTTTATTTAGGGGTTATAGTTCCAGAGAGGTAAGAGTCTGTTACCATCATGTAAAGGAGCATGTCAGGTGCTGACAGGCAGGCATGGCGTTGCAGCAGCAGCTGAGAACACATTCCATCCACAAGCAGAAAGCAGAGAGAGTACACAGGGACTGGCAGATCTTTTGAAACTTTAATGACCTTGGTGACACACCTTCTCCAGCAAGGCCATACCTATTAGTCCTCCCAAAGAGCACCAATAATTGGAGGCCAAGTATTCAACCTATGAACCCATGGGGCCCTTTTCATTCAAACTACACAGTGACCTTGAACTTCCTGTCCTGCTTCTACCACCTAAGTTCTACGATTGTTGGTGTGTGCTGCCATACCCAGCCAGTTTGCTAGCTGGTTTGCTTGCTGTTTCCAACATTCCACCTCATTAATGCTAGGCAAGTGTTATACTACCATGTTATCCTCCTGGTCCATTTCTATTTAATTTTATTTTTAAAAATGCCATGTGTTTCAGTGAACACGTGTAGCCCCAGCACTAGGGAGGTGGAGACAGAAGGATCTGGAGTTTGAGGCCAGTTTTGAGACATCCCTGTCTCAACAATAAAGACAACAAAACAAAAATACCTTATCGCAAGTGTTTTGGACCTTAGCTTACTTTTCTATTGCTGTGACAAAACACTACAGCCAAAAGCATCTCAAGGAGCAAAGGGTTTATTTTACAATTTGTAGTTCACCATTCAATCTTGAAGAGAAGTCAGGACAGGGACCTGAAGGTAGGAACTGATGTGGAGGAAGGCAGCTTCCTGGCTTGCTCAGCTGGGTTTTTTTTTTGTTTTTGTTTTTTAGTTTTTCCAGACAAGATTTCTTTGTGTAGCCCTGGCTGTCCTGGAACTCACTCTGTAGGCCAGGCTAGCCTTGAATTCACAGAGATCCACCTGCCTCTGCCTCAGCAGTGCTGGGATTAAAGGCATGTGCCACCACAGCCTGGCCTCAGATAGCTTTTTTTTTTTTTTTAAATCAGTACCACCTGCCTGGGGTGGCACTGTCCACAGTGGCTGGGCCCTCCCACATCAATCATTAATCAAGAAAATTCCTGCTTAGATTTGTCTACAGACCAACCTGATGGAGGCATTTTCTCACTTGAGGTTCTCACTTCTCAGATGACCCTAGCCTATGTCAAGTTGAAAGAAAACTAACAGGTTGAAAGATGTATCTTCTTAGGCAGCTTCACTGTCTTCTTTCCTGGAGTCTATGTTCTAGAGGGTTCAAGATTTCCTAAGAATCAGCAGCATTTCACAGAGACCTTATGAGGCCTCTTCCAGTGGTAACTGTAGACAAAAGATAATGCCACCCATCCACCAACTAGGTCTTTGTAAGCATTTACCGTGAACCTAGATGTACAGTCAGCTTATGGAAAGGTTCCAACTCTTAGTGCAGGCTGGCAAGAGGAGAGTTAACTGAAATAAAAACAATAAAAGGCTGAGGCAGTAAGACAGGAGCTACTTTCAGTAACAGGGTATATTTAAATCTCTGGCCCAACTAGCAGCCGATGTTATAGGGAGAGGGCCTTAGACATTGGCTAGCTACAGGGATGTCTTCCACATCCAGTGCACATGTTGAGATCAGAGGACAGCTCTGGTATTGGTCTTTGCTCCGATCTCTAGCAGGAGTGCTGGGATTACAGATTCTTTCTCATGCTTGCATGGCAAATTCTTGTATCCACTGTGTTATTTTTCCCTCCCCCTTCTATTTAATATTAATTATTTATTTTGAAGCCAGGTATCAAGTGTCCCAGGCTGGCCTAGACTCCATGTGTAGCTTAGGATGACCTTGAAATCCTGGTATCCTGCCTCCACCTCCTGAATGCTGAGATGATAGGAATGTGCCACCACGTCTGGGCTTCATGCATACTAGCACTCTGCTAACTGGACTGCATCCCTAACCCCAAATTAAAAATTTTGTTTAGACCCACTCTTTTTTTTTCTTCCAAGATAGGGTTCTTTGTGTATCCGTGGCTGTCTTAGAACTCACTCTTTAGTCCTGGCTGGCCTCGAACTCAGAGATCTGCCAGCTTCTGTCTCCCTCCCTAGTGCTGGGATCCAAGGTGTAGGTCATCATTGCTCCCATGTTTAGACCCGCTTTTAAAAAGCATGCCCTCCAATCCTCTCCTTGTCTTTTACTGGGCAGGTAATTCATCTGGCATGGTGGCATTGTTTAACTCTGATTGCTACCAGTAGTATTTATCAACTGTATCAAGCTCTATGAGAGACATACTTGCAAGGGGGGGGGGCCAAATCTTTAACAGAAACGTTAAAGGACAACAGTGGAACAGTAACATCTGAATTGCCACCAGGTGGCAGCACATAATTTATGCCAGAATGATTCTGAACAGGCCAGAGAACTAGGCTGGGGTGATCTCCGTTCAGAGATCTGTGAGCAACTAATTAGTCTTCCTCAAACAATACCCTGTTTAGGTTATGTTTCTGTTCAAGAACAAATCACACAAACATTAAAAAAAATTTTATTATTCAAGTTCCATCCTCATTCAGCCTCTTCCAATTTTATTTCCTACCATACATTTTCTTAAACTCAGTTGCTATCAGGACCACCTTTATTCTGTTGTTATTACTATTTTCAGTGCTGGGGATTGAACCCAAGGCCACATGGTACACTCTCTACCATTGCTTTCTGCCCCTAGTCCTATTCCAATTATTTATGTTCCACATATTTGCCAAGAATCTCTACTTCCTGGAAGAGGGAAGTCTAAAGATTTTTAAGGGAGGCCCCTAAACTCTGGGAGGAAGGCCCATATTCCACCGTATCTATCTGTCCTTATGCTTCTTCTTCTTTTTATTTTTTTAACTTTTCGAGGCTGGCCTCGAATTCACAAAGATCCACCTGCCTCCCGAGTGCTGGTATTAAAGGTGTGCGCCACCACCGCCCCGCCTGTCATTCTTCTATTGCAGTCTGCTCAGGTATAAGAATATAAACCCTTGAGACCTGTGGGTATAGAAAGTGTGAGGAAATCTGTACCTGACGAACAGTTGGGTAAATTCTTATTTATTTCTCACAATTTTTTTCTTTTCTTTCTTTCCTTTTTTTTTTTTTTTTTGGTTTTTCAAGACAGGGTTTCTCTGTGTAGCTTTGCGCCTTTCCTGGATCTCGCTGTGTAGACCAGGCTGGCCTCGAACTCACAGAGATCCGCCTGCCTCTTGTCTCTTGAGTGCTGGGATTAAACGCGTGTGCCACCACCGCCCAGCCCATGATTCTCCTTTTCAAGCCAGCTCGTGATACCTATCCTCTAAGTTTTCTTCAAGTCCAATCTCTTCCCTCGGCATTTCGTTTGGTTGCTTTTTCTCAAGTCGCTAGGAATTATGTATTAATTTTAGCTTCTCATTACTCTGCAATCCTTCTGTACATCACATTCGATTTTGCAGGACACCTTATTCAAAAGCCGCGCCAGTCTAGTGCTTGTTCAATTGGCTTAATTAATTATCAATTGCTTCTGTTTGGGGGGTTTGATTGGTTTATCTTTTGTTTACCGTCCCGCCCTCTCAGAGACTCTTTAGACTAGGTTTTCCCCCAGGTGTATTCTCTGCCCTTCGGTTCCGCTTTTTCAACACACTGTCTCTACTGTTTTTACCTCCACTCCCTTCCTATTGGTTCCCTTCGTCTTCTCAGAGTTGGCGCCTAGCGATGCTGATTGGCTTCTCTGAACGCCCATTGTGCCCACCCTCGTACCACGTGGCATCCCTAGCGTTAATTGGGCAACCCTGCTAGCTCGTTTGTCAAAGATCGACGACTGATTGGCTGCTCTGAGGGAGGCCTGAGGAGGGGCGGAGCCCCCGGAGCCCCCGCCCCCCCGGCCCCCTGCCCCCAAGCGTTTCAGACGCTCACCCGCGGGGAGCCGAGAGTTTCCAGCTGCCCTCTCAGTCCCAGCGGTGATCCGCCTCCGGGCCCCGCCGAGCAGGCGGGGGAGAGCAGCCCAGACCGCAAGGCCATGGCAGTAGCCTCCCGCTCCTGCGCTGCCGCTGGCCCCGCGGAATCGCCGGCTTCTGCGCGAGGGACCCCCACCTCCTCCGCAGGCTAAACAGCCACGGCCGGCAGCTGCTATGCTGGCTCTGGGCCGCCAACTCCCTCGCCCGCCGGCCCGCGCAGACGCCCCCTCGGTGGCTCCGTCCTGCCTCAGGTAACGTCGGGAGAGGGACTGAGGAACCAGGCTCGGCATCCCTGCCGCGCGCGCAGCCACTGCTCATGGGTCGCCGAGCACTGGACAGCCTGGTGCCTCCCTTGAGATTCTCATAGAGGCAAGGGACAGCCTCTCGTTCTTCCCTTTCCCCCTTTCCTTTTCCTTCTTTCTTCTCTCCGGGTCCCGGGACAGTGCTCACCTTCTCGCTTCAGAGGCGGGGAAGGCATTGGAAGTTATACCTCGAATCGACATTGTGGTGTCTGGCCTTCCTCACTTGGGAAGTTC